AAGCTGCTGATGCCCCAAGTCCTGCTTTAAACAACTGCTTTAGCAACTTGAATGGAAACAGGTTCTCTCCATACCTCTGCCCTCTTGCTTTTAGAAAAGTGGAGAACTCTGAGTCAAGCAGAGAACAGCAGAGTAGGTGAGGAAGAAAAAACACACCCTGCTTAATGCATTTGTGAAAAGCTGCTACAAGGCAGCACGTATCATATGCGTGTGAGAATTGTTTCATGCTTTTCGTTGCCTGTCAGGACTAGAAATCAGGACTCAAGTTTTCTTTGCAAAATTTAATTTGATGATCTAAATTAAAAGGTATTGCTTCAGATGCTCATTAAGTTTTCAAGTTAGGGAAGAACTTCTGAACTTTTCCAAGCCACTTTCGTTTGCCTTTCCAGATTCCTTCTCTATTCTTTATGATTCCCCCAAGAAGAATGATAAATCTTGTAATAGAAAAGGAAGGAGTTCCTGGAGGGCAGGCACATCTCCCTTTGTAACACAATTATCAGGCCGGTCAGAAGGCACATGTTCACCTGCTTCTTGTGAAGCTGAAAGAGAAACATTCCCCCAGGTTACAGGAGAGCAAAGGGATGCCAATCCTGCTACTCAATGCCTCGCTCTCTTCCCATCTCCTCACTCTGGCCTGGATCTTTCTCTTTTTCCTGCAGCCTTCCAGTGTACTGTCAGAAAAAAAAACACCTGCAATTAATTTCATTTCCCTCTTCCGTGTACATAACAGCCTTGGCACAGCCTCCCTGAAGTTGAACTACAGAAAACTAGCATCTAGTCTACATACTGCAATGCAGACAGTTCTGGTCAGGACAATTTCACAATGCTCATCTCTACAGCATTTAATTAGAAACAAGAAACACGGCCAAAGTTTTTTATTATTATTTTAAAGGGGAAGAAATAAATACCTTGAAATACAGAAAGACTGTAAGTGTTCTGGCTTTTACACTTGCAAGTTCCCATACCCAGACACACACACAGTGCTTCTAGAGCTGTCTAGAGAGCCAGAAGTAGAGCTGCCTGTCTAGCTCATGAACTCCCAGCCCTGTCCCTCTGCTGAAAGAAACTGCAATCCCTCTACCAGAAATCATCTGTAGGACAGAGCACTGTACATCAGCAGAGGAGCTGTATCAGGGACTCAGTATAAACATACCTCCCCCTCAGTTTACATGGTCCAAAAAGAAACTTTGGAATAGAGTTAAAATTGGACCACAGAAACATATTTTAACACGCATAAAGAAAGACTGTTCCAAGAAAGGGGTCCAGCTGATCGGAATTTGAAAGTGGAACTTCAATGATCAGACTTCTTTCAGTTGACACCTGTCCTTACAGCTCAGTGACTACCTTCCAGCAACCACAACTGTACAATTTCATGTACTGCACATTCCTCATGACCCCTTTCTCTTCTCCCAAAACAACTTTATTTGGAGGAAAGTTGTGTTTGGCCACTGCTACAGTCCAAGCACATCAGAATGAAATAAATAGCATCCCGGGGAGTTTTTCACCCGATGAGCTGAGTGAGAACAGTAAAAGGTCAAACTACATCTTCAGGAATCTTTCCTCTGCCAAAATAAGTAAGCTAACTGTTTTGCTAGTTGTCTGCAGCTACTGTTGTGCACTCAGTGCTGCAGTGAAATCTTCACATACCAGATGCAGCCAGCAGCAGCTACCAGACCATGCAGCAAAGTCCAGAAGGGAAAGCTTTCCTTCCCTTAAGACCAGACTACTTTCTGTCTGGGCCACAAGCTGTTCCTGAGTGAAACCTGCAGTTGTCAAGCTGCAAGGGAGCCTCCAGCCCTACTCATCTTCAGTGAGAAATAAGAACCTAACCCCTTCAGACAAAGGAGAAAAGCTAAAGGCTAAGCCACTTGGGCGTTCCTGCAAACTTCTATGCGGTTAGTGCTCCAGAAGGGATAGGCCAAAGCATGAAAACAGTAATCAGTAAGATTTGCATAGGGAAGAAAAGAAATCCCAAACCTGTCCCACCTGCAGACATTCCACCTTGAAAGAGGACTTCCCCTCTGAAACTCCTGTTGCATAACTAAAACCTCGCTCGGCCCAATCAGGAGCCCTGCAAGGAAAACCTGAGATGTTCTCAAGCAAGCTGCCGGGAGTTCAGTCTGTGATGCTTATCTGAGCACAGTCACTGCAGCTGCTATGATGCTGTCTGCAACCACCTGCTGCTGAAAAAGCATCATGGACACGTGAGATCACAAGACACAGAACAGATATTTTATTATTTCATGTAGAGAGAGGTAGCAATGTACCTGATGGGGCTGCAATGGAAGCGGTAGTTATTTGGCAAAATAGCTGAAGAGACTTCACTAAGAAGGACTTGTTTCCATGTCTTTAAGTAACAAAGTGGTCATTTCACTCGGACTTTGGACCGAGCACATGCTACAGAAATTCACGAGCCTGACTCACGAAATGGAGTCCCGCCCCTGCATTCTGCCTAACCACTCAGTCTCCAGGCCCGGCTCCCTGGCTTCTTCTTTCTGCTAAGAAGCAAGTGCCACAAGAGCTGCAAGTCTGAAGCAGAAGTTGGCTGTGAAGTGGGACCGTGCACGTCCCTCATCCCACTGTGAAAGTGCTGGTACAAGCCACCAAGTGTTGAGAGTGAATGCAAAGCAGCCAGTTGGGTGACACAGAAAGAGGTGGGTGACTTCAGCAGGGGCAAGGCAACAAACCAGCGCAGTTCTAACGCTGTTTGGTCATTTTTAAGCCAGCTGAATTTATCAGCTCTCAGCATTCCCTTCTCCCAAGCAGCCGGGGTGTTTCCTTTCGAAAGGGAGGACTGAATGCAGGCAGTTAGCTCCTCTCTTGAGAATCCTCTGGCTGGGAGAGAGGCGAGGAGGAATTTCTCCCAGAGGCTCTGAGCTCAATCCCACCTACCTCTGGTGTGCGCCCCAGGACTCGCTCCTCACTGATTCACTGCCATGGGCCGCACATCTCTGCAAAGCTGCGACTCACTCGGGTGCCAAAGCAGCCACGTCCGCTGGTGTCAGCGGGAAGACAGCCAGCCCAGCGCCTGCCCCTGCACTATGGGGTTCTTGTAATCTTATTTTCTTTCCCCTCTGCGAAAACCGAACTGCACAGCGAGCCCGGCCACGTGCAGGCGGGGGAGCCGGGGGTTTCCACAGCACGTGCCCTGCTGCCGGAGCAGTCCCACCTCGGGAAGGAAGCACATGGCAGCGAAGGGGTTTTGCCGGGGAAGCACCACGCTGCTACTTCGCCTGCTCAAGCGTGCACGGAGCCGTCTGGGTGGCTGTCAGCAGACAGAAAGCTCCTCGGGGCCGGCTGCGGACACTTCTCCCCCGCAGCAAGCACATGGGGACGGCGACAGGAGCCCGGGGGCAGCATCCCGAGCTGGAGCCGCGCTCCAAGCGGCGGCGGGGCGCAGCTCCAAAAACTTGGTGGCAATTATAATAATTAGCGAAGCGATTCGGGTCCCGAGGACTGGCGGCGAGCGGGGAGGAGCTGCAAGCCCCGGCGGGGCCCGGCTGCCTGCGGGGCGGCCGCTGCGGGCGGTGGGAGCCGCCTGGGGGGGCCGGGGGCGGCAGGGGCTGCAGGATCGGCCCTCGCTCGCCGGGACCGAGCCGCCGGCAGGTCCGGCAGGTCCCTTGCAGCCCTTTGGGTGCAGGGGGAAGGGAGCCGAGGCCGGCCCCGAGGAGCCGCGTCCCGGCAGCTTCCCGCCCGGCACCGCGTGGCGCGGGGGCAGCGCCGCGCCCCGGTCCGTTAGGGCCGGGAACAAAGAGCCCCCACCCCGCCACCCCCACAGCCACCCCCCGGCGGGGTGCCGGGCCGCACGGAGTTAGCCAAAATTCTTTAAAACCCCAACTAAACAACCCGCCCTGCCGCTCGCCGCTCGGCACCGCGTGGCGCAAAGTTTGGGCTCCCCCCGCGCATCGCCCCGGGGCGGTGCGGGGCCGCGGCACACGCCAGCCCTTTGTTCCCCCCCCCCCCCCAAAGCCAGGCTCGCCGCCGTGCCCTACAGGGGCTCCCCGCCGAGCCCCGGCTCCCCGCTGCCGCCCACCCCGGGGCCGGCCGCCGCTTCCCCCCGCCGCCGCCATGGCCGGGCAGGCCCCGGCCCCACGTGTAGCAGCGGCTGCCCGGACCCCTGCGGCTTCGCATCGCCCCCCAGGATCCCGGCCCCGGCGCTACAGGTGTGCGCTGCGGGGCCGCACCTGCGCCAGCCGCCGCGCTCCGGGCTGGGGAAAGGGGCACGGCTCGGGCAGGGCGCCCGCAGCCCCTCCACGCGGTCCCGCCGCGGGGCTGAGCGGGGGGGAAGGAGCCGCGGGTCCCCCCGGCCCGGGCTGCGGAGGGGCGGCCCCGGAGCGGCTCCTCCGCAACTGGGGGAGCGGGGGGAGGCAGCGCAGGGCAGGGCGCACCGCAGCCACGCGTGTCACGCCGCCCCGGGGAGACCACGCAGCGGCAGCAGCAGCACCAAGCAGCGATGGGAACGCGCACAGGGGAAGGGGCGAGCCCCCAGCCGCAGCCCCAGCCCGCCGCCGCACTTTCTGCTCCGTAGTAAGCAGAGAGAGAGAAAAGAAGGGGAGAAGAAGGGGAAAAGAAGGGGAGCAGAAGGCACTCACCGCTCCAAGCGTGCTGGCGGAGGGGCAGCGTGCTGTGCTGCGCTGTGTTGTGCCGTGCCTTGCCGTGCGGTGCTGCCTGCCCTGCCCTGCCCTGCCTCCCGCCCCGCCTGCCAGCCCGGGCGGCCGCGCTCGCCCCCGCGCCCCCTCCCCTCCTTTCCCGCGCCCGCCCCTCCCCTCCCATCCCCGTCCCGCCCTTCCCTCCCCGCCCCGCCCCTGCCGCCGCTCTGCGCACGCGCCGTTCCCACGGCCCCATTCTCCTCAATCGAGCCCTGCACGCGCCGCGCGCCCCATTGTCCTTTTAAGGCAGAAAGGCCGCGCGGGAAGCCTACGGAGGAGGGGGGGGGAGGCGGCGCCCATTGTGACGTTGGCGGTGACCTCACGCGGAGGGGCCGGCCCGCACCTGCCTCCCGCCAAGGGGGCGGGGCCTCCCCGGCCGCTTTCCCGCCGGCGCGCCGGGAGCCGGGGCAGGGGCGCGGGGGCTGGAGCCGGGGTCCCTGCAGGGCAGGGCAGGGCAGCAGCGGGGTCCCTGGGCCCAGCACGGCGCTGGGTCGCCCCGAGCACCTCGCAGGGGCTCTGCTGGCTGTGCAGCTCCGCGGCAATCCCGCGCCCTCCTCTCCCTCGGCGCTGCCCAGCGGGTCCCTTCGGGCACGGGGCGCACGCAGCGGGAAGTGTCCGGTGCTGCCCGTGAGTTGTTTGGCGTGCGGTGCTTCTGTGTGCTTTCAAACCATCCCCCTCCGCCTGCTTCGTTGCCTGCACTCCCCTCCAGACGCAGCCAAACCCGAGCTTTCGTTCAGCCTGCGGGGCACAAGCGTGGCTGGTGCTGAATGGGCTCCCAGAATACACAGATACCATTCTTACTGGTTTTAACCAGCCTAGGGAACTCTACCAGCTCTTTCCGCAACTTCCCTTTGCGTGTAAGGTGTCCGCTTTTATCTGCCTTTCTTTTCTGAGTTGAGGGAGTGATTCTCTCAGACTTTTACAGCGTTTTCCCATTTTTTCTTCCCTTCTCTACGCTTCCGGAGACCCCTCTGTGACATTCCTTCCAGCCCAGTGCCGCCTAGTACAGCATTTAAATCTCCACATGGGAACGAGATGGCGTTTACAAGGAGCAACATGCTGCATCTGAACCAAACCGATCCCGTGGTCCCCACGGATGGCTACGTGCCCTTACCCTGCTGCCCCCCAGGAGGCTTTAATTGCCTCCAAGCCAGAGTCAGGGAGCCTGGTCGGGTATTTATTTCCCAGCTTTATGTCCCACACAGACCCCACAGCACAGTGCAACTCACAGGCTTGTAACTCGCAATAACAAGAACAGCTGATGCTGTAACCCCTGGAGGATTTCACTTTCCGAACAGCTTGGCCACCCCTGCCCTCTCAAAGGAAAACCATTTCTAGCCGCTGAAGTCCAAAGAGCGATGCATAAAGAAGAGTATGGTCCAAAACTTTCATTTCTGGAACGTCTCCGGTTTCCTTGAAGCCTTCACTGATGACATTGCGGGGGCTACCCTATAACTTGGCAGTGATTTGAGATCTCAGTTTTGGCTGGCAGCCATCTACCAGTAAATAAAAGGCACTTCTATAGCTAATGAGCTTTCTCCAGGGTTCCTCTAGCCCCTGCCCCTCCAGCCAGCCACTTGCACTCCCCACAGCATCAGGGGCATGCTGTGTCTGACTGCACCACATAGAGAGCTGGGGATCAAAAATAGCCCCAAACTGGAGCCAGCCTTAGGAGTTTAATTTAAGGGAAGTGCAGCCACCTGAAACAGTGCATGCTTCTGTTTCTTAAGGGTGCCAGCACTACAGGTAAAGCCTCATTTGGTAAGGCTCTTAGCAGTGCTGCTGTTGTAAAAAATAAAGCACCTTGGTAAAAGAGGAATATGGGATCATAGAGATCACGGGTGACCTGGAATACAACCTTTAGAACAGGAGTTGCTCTCATCCAGGAGTGCTCTTAGAAATATTTACCTTTAAAGACACACGTGGTCTTTAGAAAACTAATGGGACTGTGGCTGTACTCCAGTTAAGCTTGTACCTTTCCTGGACGGGGTCTTAATTATTTCAGCTGGGAAGGTGAAATATGTCAGTGATGTAATAAAAAAGCTAACCACAAGGGCTTTTTATATAGAAAACATACATATATTATGAGTGCTGAGACACAGGCACTAATGCAGAGGAAAAGTAGGACATTAGTCAGCTGAGACATCTGATCCTATTGTGTTATTTTTCAATATTAATGAATAAACAAACACAAATAGGCTGCTTGTTGGTAGGTGAAGAACAGCTGTCAAAACCAAACCCAGGCAGCTGCTCCTTCTTTGAGATTTCACTACAAAACACTTTTTACAACTTAAGTCATTTGAAAACTTGCTTCATTGGCTAAATGCCTGGCCAAGGGATTTAAAAAAAAATACCAGAAGTTCTTTCAGAGGGAAAAAAAAAAAAAAGTGTTGATTGACATACAATTCTAATTAAGGTTTTGCCACAGAGTAAAATTTAAGAGGGAGCTATCATCCACAGATCAGCACCCACTTGCACTGGTTGTCCATGTGAGTAACAGCAAATGAATTTTCTGAAGGCGTAAATGCTCACAGAACTGATAGTTTAAAGCAAATGCATTAATAAAGAAATATGGTCCCTCTCTATGCCCCGGTTGAGGCCAAATGACAGATGGCTCCAAATGAACAGCAACAGCAAAGTTTGATGATGACAAAAATAGGTGACACGATGTTCCCAGCACCAGGGTGAAGTGCCCAGTGGATCACCAGTGCTGTGTGGATCAGGAAGACCAGAACCCCGAACTGGTTCTCGTCTAGGAACGAGGCAGAGCACTTATATCCCAGCCTAAGGAAGGAAGCCATCAGGGTTTAACAGAGAATAATAACCTCTCCGATGAGTTTTTAATTATCATTTCAAATTCCTTCAGAGGAACATAATTCTCTTAAATTCTTAAGGATTGCTCATATACTATAGGAAAATAAAAAAGATCTTTTTCTATTACTGTTTAAAAACCTTTTGTGCAGCTTCACAAGCACCCCTCATTTCTTTGCAGTGCTGTTTCTTTCATCCCTGTTAAAGCCAATAAGACCATTCTGTGAGGATTTATCTAAGGCGATTTGAAGATGCCATTAAGCAGATCAGCCCTGTCCGCCTGCCAGGCTGTTTCCTGTCAAGAAAGTTGTGCCCCTTGTTCTGTCGTTTGAGGCACTTCTGAAAATGGAGACTAAACATTTGGAAACCCAACAGAGCTCTTTGCTCTGAATCAAGAGGCTTGTCTTTCCCAACTGCATGGGGAGAAGTTCCAGATTTCATGTGGACAACTTTGGAGTAAGCTTTAGGGGCAAGAAAGTTGTGAACTGCTTTGGAGAGTATTGTGTAGGCCTGGTCTCAAGTGGGATCACTTAGGGGACAGAATTCGGGATTTTCTTACAGGTGTAGATGCTCCAAACTCTTACCCTGAATTCTGCTAAATAACCACAAGCAACCTGAGGCTGTATCTTTCCAGGTTAAAGTCTTCACCCATCACCATCCTCTCTGTGGAGCCTTCCTAGCCTACAGGTCTGTTCCCAGTGACCCTGCTTTTGGACTACAGTACCAGCAGACAGAATAAAGGTCCATAAAATTATTTTTCAAGAGAAGAAAGAAGAACCACCACTATCACCACCAACAACAAAAAAAAAAAAAACTGTTTCTGGATCAAGGAGGAGCTAGCAGAAGAATGAGATCAACGTAGCACAGAGATAGTCATAGGGAAGCAAAAAGGCATGTCGAGGATGTGGCAGAGTTTGGCTGCAGGGAGCCACAGAACTGTAGGGAAAACATTCCTCTGTGGGCAGAGATTTTAACCAGCCAAAGCAAGGCAGAGGATAGTGATACAAACCTCACCAAGCTCAGCTACTGTTGACTAGTCTTATGAGGAGCTAGCACCTCGCTGGTCTTATTGCCAAGCTGCCAAAGACAACAGAGTGCTTAGAAGTCACCTGGCGAGGAGGAAGAGCTGTGGGCAGCCTGGGCTAACCAGGGGAAGGAGGAGGGCGGGAGGAGATGGTCCCTGAAGGAAATCTGCAGAAGCCGAAGCCCTGATCATGAGCTTTGAACAAGCAGCCAAGAACCAAGTGGAAATCTACCACTGAAATCTGGAAGGAGGAGCTGGAGGCAAAAATTTTCGTAAGGGTAAAAGGGAATGGAGCTGGCTAACAAAGCCACCACATTACACAGATAACTTCAGATAGCTTAATTGGATTGAATCAGCTAATTGGTCTGCAACAAATCAACCAAATTTGACATTTAACATCCTCTAAAAGCCAAGCCAAGGGCAGACAGAGAAAAAGGACAGGCAGGGAGAAAGCAGCATCGGAGGAGAAGGCAGTGAGAAGAATGTAAGAGCCACCCCCCTCTGCAGGACAGAGGCGTGCCACTCAGAAAATTAAAAGATAAGGAAAGGTGAAAGACTTTCCAAGAGAAAGCCTTCGCTCACAAACCCATGTAGAGAAGGGAAGGGCAGGAGAAGGATGGGCAAATTTGATGTTGTTCACAGAAATGTCCAAAAGTTGGGTGCCATAATGGGTGTTTGTGGTCAGGGATTAGAGAGATGAAAGACTTAAATAAACAAACCTGGACACACATCTAACCTTAGTGACTTCCCGCAAGGCTGACTCTCTGCTCATATTGCAAATTACAGCATGCCAAGAAGCCCAGGGACCCAGATGTTGCCTCCAGGGCACATCAGAGCTTGTACGCAGCATGAAGTGTGTGCTCTGTAGGCACAGGGTGATCTGACAGACATCTCGGGGCCAGTGGGAAAATTCCTCTGTCTTCACTGATCCTGTGGTGCAGAGACCAGCGAGGAAGCTAGTACCAGTACCACATGGGCACAGGAGAGAAGGGATGCAATGGGGTACTGCCCCTGTGAAGGCAGAGGTGGTGTTCTGCAGCTTATCTACCTCTCTATGGAAGATGTATGAGGCCTCCCATCTGAGCTGTGCTCTTTCTCACATGGACTGGCTGACTGGGGTTGTTTGGGAAGGGCTAAGGCTGATGACGTGCCATGGGAAGGGACAATCCCATGGGACTGAGCTCATCTGGTCAGGTTGGGGTCCCAGCCAAGCTGCAGTGCCCTGAAGTGTGCGGGGGGCACCTGGGCTCACAGGGAAGGCTGGTGGGCACCCACAGGGTTACTGGAGTGGTGACACCCCAACTACATCCCTGTCCCTCTCAGAAGCCCCGGGGGCTCCTGGAGAAGCTGAACGAGAGCAACCTGCATGAGGTTCCCCAGGATGGCATTGCCCTTAAGTCACGGACCCATTTCAAAAAACAGCTGAACAAAGTGATGGCTATTTACAGCATGGCTGGTCAGAGACTCTCCAAAAACTGGCCTTTCTGAGACCAGCTAACAGTGTGGTTTGTGAGGTGTTATTTTCAGTGTGCTGTCAAAACAAATCTCTGTCCGTGGCTGACCTGAGTGACTCTTCTTGTCAGGACAACTGCCCTTAGCAGTGACTGAACCAGTCCTAATGCAAGGCTTCAAAACCAAGAGCAATGGTTACTGGTTGGTTTGCACTGCCTGTGGGATGGAGGTGGGATGGCTGGCTATGAGTGACATCTTAAACTGGTCCTTATTTGCTCTGGGAATGCCAAAGCCACGTATTTAGAGTCAGAGTTGAGCAGTTATTGGGAAACCATGGACATCTGATTCAATCCACGTAATCAAAACAGAAGTTTGAGAAAGGGTTAAGACCCTCCTGTGTAGGCCGATTACTAGGCTTCAGGCCCCTTCCTCCATGGCATCCAGCACCAGCCATGGTCCCAGACAGCCCCAGGATTTCAGCTCTGACCAGCCTGGTGCTTCCTCTACTCCTGGATCCTCAAGTTGTTTCCAAACAGAGAGGCCCAAGACACTTGGGCACGGAGCCCTCAGGTGCAGGGCTGTGTGGGTGCCCGGCATGTAGAGGCGTGCGGCGAGGCTCAGGCCTTTCCCCCTTGTGTGTGTGGAGAAGTGCTCACATGCTTCTTGCTTGAATGTTTGGGCCAAGTTTAACCCCCTATAAAACACATCCTGCTGTAAATCAGAATAAGTAGCCATTCATAGGAGGCCTGCAAAACAGGAGGGGGTTTGTGTGTGCCATTCTTGAAGGCAGCAGCAGCCCTTTAAAGCCTCTTTTATAAGCTGTGGCAAAGGGGCTCCCAGCGTGCTCCTTACCCTGAGTCAGCACGTAGATGCTGGCTGGGGCACTGGAAACAACATTTGGAGGGTGTGCTGGCAGGCTTGGAGGGGGACAAACACCAACTGCTAAACTCTAGAGGCCAGATGAAATCAGTGGCACCTTTCCATCTATCCCCAAACAGACCAGGATGTCGGGTGTGACCTGGCACAGCATGACACAGACTCAGCATCTTGGGGACAGACTCTGAAACAGCTCAGTACCACAGACTGCTTTCCTTCAAGGCCTCTGCATAGGTCCCGCTGTCCTTAACAGGGGCCTGTACAGCTCTGGTAAATGCCATGCTGCTTTGTGACCTCTGTGCCATGACAGTCCCCTCCCAATCCCATATCCCCAGGCTCTCTCTGCCCTTTCCCTTACAGCTGTGGCACTCCTGTGATGGTTTTACACCCACTCCACCTCAGGGCTCAGCAATGCCTCCACAGCCTTTTGCCTGAAATGTTCTGACGTGTCCTCGTGCTGGCTGGCCTCTGCTCTGCAGCAGCACACCTCCCCGCGAGGCTTATATAATCCACCACTGTCACCACTTCCCACTGCAAATATTCGTAATGCTTTAAACACACAGGGAAAAGCACAGGCTCCCCTCCAACAGGTACGTGCACTCAGGCAAGCCCCACTGTAAGTGATCCCTTTACAGAGCAGCCATTATGATAGTAGGAGTTATTCATTTTCCATTTAATAGGTGCTTGGCCTGAAGTGGTGGGGTAAAAGCTGTTTTGGGTTGCAAACATTTATAAACCTCTTGAAGAAACATGACACGTTCCCTTCACTGGCAGTTCTGTTGGCCTTAGGGTCACCTAAAACTCACCTATATGCTGTGTGTGGTCCTAAGAAAGCAGGTGGTTCACTCTACATGAAAGAAATAGAAGTACCCAACTTCTCTGATATCAGTCAATAACCTCCTGCAAAACTGCTGCTACTCTCTCAATGATAATGCCCATGGAAATGCCAATCAAAGAAAACTAGAAATAATACTCAAAGCTAACCAATTACACAGTATATGCACTATAAACAAAATGTACAACAAAATGGTTACCTTCCAAAGCATTCTTCAAGCAAGTTACAGCATCCACTCCACACAGTGGTTGAAAGAACTGTAGGAACGTAGCATCTAAAGCAGAATGGAGAATCTGCTGTCCCAGGGAAGGGAACTGCATCATTGTGTCCAGCAACAACACCTGGTCTCCTGTCGGTGAGCTGCAGCTGGCACAGAGACCACCTCTTGCTCTAAGGCTGTGAGGTGTCTCAGCATGACCATATGTTAGCTAAAGCCAACAGGGTTTGAAGCCTTTGAAGATGGAAGAAAGCTGTACCTGTACCTGTGCAGGTGGGTTCTGCTGCAGAGCAAGCTCAGCATGCTCATTATTCTCTGCTAAGGAGCTGGGGATTACTCTGACTTGCTGAAAAACACCTGGTCTAGATTGTATCAGGTGTAGCTTAGTAAGAAGGGCATAAAACTTGCCAGCTCTAACACCTCATGTTCATCAACACAGGATGCTCAGGTTGTAACAGAAAGCTAGAGTGATAGGAAAGAGCATAACCAGCTGACAACTATTATGTGGTATTGCTTCTGGTCTCCACGGCTTGTAGCTCCATGAGCAGCTTGCTCTGCAGGAATTCATGTCTGCAGCACAAATTCTGAGCACTGGATGTGGCTGGATTCAGTTCAAAAAACATCTTGGACCAAAGTTTTTCATTAAACACAGTGTTGTCTTCCAACATTAAAACAAGACGGAAGCTGTGATTCTTGATTTGTTGAAGGAGTACAATAATATCTTTGGCCCCAGTCTGCTTGTAAGATGGCAAAGGTTACAAGCCGTTATATTTGTGCCTGTGTTTCTGATACTTTGGACTAAGTAACTTAAACAGGGGGCATGCGATGTGATGAACTCCTAGATGACTCAATGAAAATAAATTTTAAAGCATGGTTTCTCACCTTTAACTTTCCTAAACCCTTTATGAATGATCTGCTTCCAAAAGCTTGCCAACCATGGCAGTACATAGGCTCAATACTTATCTGCCCACACAAATTCTGCAAGACTGTTCGAAAAAGAGAGCAGAAATTGCATCTTAAATAAGCAGTTAGGCTTAATGCTCGTCAACACCAGAGAGGCTGGTGCTAGCTATCTGTTGGAGAATTCGGGGCTTTGGGCGGATAAATGCTTCCTATTCAAAGTGAATGACATGAAGTCGAGTTCACCCCCGGGAACAACAACGGAAGCCTGAACGGAAAAGCCCACACCTGGAGGGCTGCCAGTCCTCTCTCGCCTCCCACCTGGTAGCAGGTGTTAGAGCAGCACCTCCCTCCCTGGCAGCAGACGCGATGACTATTTAAAAGAGAAAGTCTTTGCGGGAGCTTTCTGTACTGAGGAGTTTTGGCACTGGGCTTCCAGCAGAGAACAAATCTGGGCTATGCTATCCATTGCCTCACGACAGACCTTGTGCTGTGGTGGGCAGAATGAAAACAAGGAGCTAAAGGGGCCAGGAGACTCCCTGCACTGAGGACTCCTCATCTTCCTATGCCCTTGGGCCAGCTCAGCTGTGAAATTACGCAGGCTCTGGTGCAGGCTTAGTTATTTCAAATATAGAGTGGCATCTGTGGGGGGCAGAATAACCTTTCTGGCTCAGCCTGCATGTATGTTTGCTGTGGGCTGAGCTTATGGCTGGTCTCAGGGTAAGCTACACACCTGGACTCCCCAACAGCCAAAGCACTCAAGATTCCTGCTTAGTCACCCAGCACCTAGGCAAGCTTTCAAATCCACTTTTATCTTTGCATTTCAAAGGCTTCGCTCACTGCAGCACCGCAGATCCATCAGGAAAGAAATGTAAAGGCAGTCATCCCCACCGACTCCACAGACACCTCCATCGGCCTGCTCGAGCACCCCACCTCGAAGCGAGATGGCGGGCCCTGCTATGGGATGGGAAGGGTTTTACTTCAGCTCGACAGGGCACTTGGCTGGCAGCCTCCTCAGCGCTGCGTGCCTGAGCAGGTCGGCGCAGGTCCCGGCGGCCTCCCACTCCTCCTCCCCGCAGGCAGGGGCAATGCTCGCAGTTTGGAGCCTGTGACCCCCTGAAGGGGTTACGGCTCTGCTTTCCCCCGTTATCCACAAATCCCCGTGTCAGCAGCCCGCTAAAATCTCCACAGGTCCGTCGGCTGCCTCAGGGCACTAGCTGGGGTGGGTCGGTGGAGCATGCCGGGCCTGCGACATGGCAGGCGAGGAAGAGGAGGGGAATTCTTCATGCTCCAGTTGCCGTTTTGTTCGTAGCCCCGCAGCTGCTGCCCGCTGAGTCTGCCTCTTCTCTGTGGGCAGCAGGGCCCTCCCTCACCCTGCCTTCCTCAGCTCTCCTCTTAGTGTTTATTTTGCGCCTGCACTGGCTTCCCACCTCCTTTTCATTATTTTTGAAAAATGTATTTGACATCTTCAGTAATCACTCAGTACTCCCGCTTATCTTGCCCCCCTTCCTCGTCTCTGCCTGGATTCCTGCTTAGGGGAGCTGCTGGGCTCGGCCAAGGCTGCTGCAGGTGCAGAACGCTGCAGCTCCGGGAGGCACAGGACAGCCAGCCCTTACTTTATGCACAGGGCTGCGTCTTGGCAGAGGATGAAGAGCAGAAAAGTTAATCTTCCCTAGCACTGCTGGATTGCTTGCAAATGTTAAAATATAAATCTGGGCTCTTCCCAGGTCTGAGAGTTTGGCATTGCCCATGCTGAGTCAAAGTTAGAAGCTGCAAACCTAAGATCCCAACAAAGAACAAGGCAGCGTAGTTAATACCTAGCCCTGTTGGTGAGCTGCACTTACCTGTATGGATCTGCTTAAAAGCAGAACAACCTCTACAAATTTCCCCATCCCTTTCAGTGCAGGCATGGAGGAGTTTAGGACTGCCATCATACACCGTTCAGCTCAGCAAGGCTAAAGCATGCACTTGGCTTTACACACTCATGTAATTCCACATCATTTAGTCATCGTTAAGTCACTTCTGAAGGTTTTATTGACTCAGATTGGTATGCTCAGAAGTTGGATAGAGTCCTTTCAAGCCAGTCTTACGCTGCCACAGCTTGAGGAGAGCTACGTCAGGCCCGTTCTGTAATGCCTTTATCAGGTGCAGGGAACAACCGAGATACTTCATTTTCTTGGTTTTGCCCCAGGGGTTCATTTTGTACTTCTACAAAACAAGCTTAGTTTTTGTTATAAATACGAACACACTGGAGCTCTCTGTCCTTACGTTGGGCTCGACCTTGTTCTTGGCATCCCTTTCGCATTTTGTCTCTTTATTTTATTTTATGACAATCTGCTATTGAACACATGTTGTGAATTTACTTAGAGATTTGAGAGAGAACAAACACTCTTCTGTCTTATCAATATTTTTTTTCTCTTGTTTTAATGTGTTTTGCATTTCTATTTCTTTGCTGCTTGTGCTAGGAACACCCTTGGAAAACTCTCCTTTTGCTGTACATACCTCACCCTTGTATCAGTGCTAACCCCAGAGCCAGGCAAAGCACGGTAGGTAGGTGTTCAGACAGCTTTGGTCCCTGCCAGCTGTTTGTCTTTGTGCATTTCATGTATTTTTAATTGTGCACACTTCTGTTTGTCCCCAGCCCAGTGCTTTCATGAAGAAAGCGTGGCATTTGCTTGGTTTACAGCTATCCACTTCTTCACAAGCAAAATCCTGTTTCATAACAGCCCTTCTGTAAGTTGGGTGCTGGTTATCCCACAGAACCATGCTTTAAAAAATGTTATTTACATTTTTCAGGGTAGCTAGAGGGGTTTGGTTTTAATTAGCTGAGTAAGAGAGCCATGAGTGATTATACAGCCACAAACAGAGCTGCTGCCATCATCTCCCAGCTTCTTACCCATGGCTCCTGTGCCAACAGAGCTAAAACAAGGAAAAAATAGCTCAGGCTCTTGGAGACAAGCATTTTTTGAAAGACAGGAAGGGGGGAAATTGATGAAGATGTTACCATGTGTGTTGAGCCTGCAGTACTCAGTAGTTTTTCTGTACCTGATTAATTGCCTAAGCCGGAGGCAGAGAGGCTCTTCCAGATTTGGGAAGTGTGAAGGGAGTGCGAGCCCTCCTGCCATCCTCCCCTGGGCAATGCTCTGGAATCAGGGAGGTTCTTGTATTGAGACACTGCCTGCTGGGAGCTATTTCAGTGAACTACAGGCTCCTTCCTTCTCCATCCTCCTGCTGCAAAGCACAGCTTCCTTCTCCATTTCTTCCCAACCCTCTTGTTCTGCACAGCAGTCAGCATCACTCAGAGTGCCCCTGCTAATGAAACGTGACAGGAGCGAGGTCCAAGGGAAGAGGGCATCTCAGGGTGACTGGAGGAGGAACCTCAGCCCAGGGCATTGCCAGCAACGTGGCCAGCTTCAACGGTGGTCAAGTGGGGCAAGGCATTAGGCTTGCAGCGCTTGGGAAAACTTGCTAGCAGCCTGGCATCATTTTGGGATCACAACTTCCCTGCACTCTGAACGTGTGCAGGAGCTGGTCCTGTTGCAAACAAGTTGAACCTCCAGTGCCTTCCAGTGCTCTGGGATACTGGGCTGGGTGGGATCTACCCAGGGCATCCTGCAGCTAGCAGTAAGACCATGCACACTGCTCGCTGCCCAGAGCCAAGACTGCAGAAGTCCATCACCGCCCATCTCCTGCCTGCCAAACACGGGGTACTGCCACTATTCTCTTACAGGCTATTGCAACCAAAGAGGTGAACATGAGGCTTTTAAATACCTTCATTACCACGAGCCTGGCCCTTCACACAGAGATGAGCTCATCTAGAAGCAAACTTATGCATGAGTGGGACTGGCTTCGTAAACATCACGTCTTGAAAGCAGCAACAACAGTCCCTTTACTATTTTCCCAAGAGAGTTGCTTCTCTTCTGGGCACAAAGTAATAAACAGGTCAGCAGACTACAGTGCTCGTGAATGCCTTTCTAAACTCGTCGGCTTTCGGAACTCCCACTGCCTTCAGCAAGGCCAAGATTAAATAGCCATGGTGGATCACCTCGTATTTGCACCTCCTAGGACACACATTTGAGTCACAGACCAACAAGTTCATGCTTCTTCTGTTCTTTTTCATTCCTCCCATCTCAGCACTGCGTCAGTTAAATGCATGTGACTAAGCCTGGAGCAGCTATCCCTCACCCATCACAGCTACACACAGTACCCCCGTCTAGCACAAATTCATGCTGACAGCTGAAATTCTAACAGCTCCTATTCAGGGGATGAATCCATCAGCTTCTCTGGTTTGCAGGTTTTTTCCTAGTTCTCTCGTGTTCCTGTTACCATGAATGGAAATCTTCTTCCACAGCTTTAAGAACACGAAAGCTGGTAGAGCCAGTGGGTGGTGTTTCCACTTAAGTTCCCAGTTTTGTTAAAAGTCCTTTTTACATAGGCAGGAGGGGAATGTCCTGCGCACCACACCCACTTTCAGCCAGCTTCATGCTATTTATACAGGCAGGAACCACAGGCCATCTGCAAGAGGTTTAGGGCTCAGACAAGCCAATGGCCTCACTAATTCCAGGCTGGTGGGTTTATGCTACGTGGTCTCATTTAGAGCACGTCCTGTTTCCCTCACTGGGTAATGACAGTTAAAAGTTTGCAAGGGTACAAGCAGGTAAACTTAATTCAGGTGAGACCCCCGGTCAGGAGAAAGGGACTAAAGAGGTAATCCAGGACTTCTCAGCTACTTCAAGTACGAGAGCACCACCTCTGAGCTGGCATCCCTGTTTATTTGGAATTAATTCCATGTCTTTTAAAAAATAAAATAAAAACAAATTGACCACGTTAAATCTCAGTTTCACTGACCATTTCTGACCGCTGCTGGACATCTCTTGCTAGCACTGGGGATGTCTTCCACCACGCTTTGTCTGGTGTTGTCGATAAGCTATTTGGTCTTGCAACGAGCAGGGACAAGCTGTGGGGCAGAGAGGGGACAGGATGAACTCCACATAGCTACACAAGGAGGTCTCCCGTATCATTCTCCTACTTTGAGCTAGACCAAAGAAGCTTAAGCTTGCAGGCATCCCCATCACCTCCACACAAGCATAACTACTTCTTGGTCTGGACAGTTCAGCCTGTCCCAGCAGCCGCAGTTTCTGGGGTAGAATGAGCCATGGCTGTGCCTCCAAGAAGAGCTTCAGGCTCATGATGAAAAGCTCTTGCAAAGCATCTGTTCCTCCCAGCCTTTTGGTAGGGAATCTGTTGACATCTTCAGAAAACAGCCAGGCGAGTATTTATATCCATTTCTGTAGCACTTAATCACATTAAGGTAGGTTTTCCCACCTAAGGCCAACAGAAGGAGCCCTTCTCTTCCCTCTGGCTGCAGAGGCAGCATAAGGAAAACTCCTTCCCTAGGCTCGAAGCAGCCTTTGAGGAAACCTCTTGTTGAAAGCAGGAGGATGCCAGGGTTGCACCGCACCAAATCCTGCATCTGGCTGCTACTAAGGGAGGAGTTTAATTTTAGGTTAGGCTTGTATCAGCTGGTCATGGGTGCAGGGGAGAATCTAGTGCTGGAACAGGGGGAACACTATCTTACAGATGGCTTGATTACTTATGTGAGAGTAAATGGTGTGAATACTTGAGCTTCTCTGACATAAACTGCAATTATTTTACATGTGTGGATCCCACTGAATCAATTATTGAATGATACCGAGGTCGCCATTTGATTACTCAGCAATGAGGGGCTTTACAGCAATGTTATTTGGAAAAATATACTGTGGGTATTGGGGGGGTAGGGGATGCCTTTTCTTCTTTTCCCCCTCCCTTTGATACAAACGTGTTCTTGGTTAAATAATAAAATTGTTTGATTGGTCACATCACCTTCTGACAGAAGATTTTCCGAGGAGCTGAGATGCCCTGCAAGGTCTGTGGAGAATACAGATGGGCCCATTAAAGCGTCAGCCCTCCCTGCAGAGCCTCTTGCCAGTGACAAATCAGCTCCACGGTGGCTGAGGCAGAGACTTTACTTTAAGCAGGCACTGCACAGCAGGCCAGCACTGAAATTCTTCCCAGTCTCTTCACATCCTGTGCTGAGCTCAAACCACCTTATAACGATGCATCTGACGGAGGAGCTGAAGGGAAAACACAAAAGCCAGCGATGCCGTGCTCCCTGACCGCAGTGACAGGAGTTCGGTCTCTGAGCAAGACAGGGAAGTGGCTTTGCTCCTAACTTGAGCACAGTTTGTCCCTATGAGCTTACCTGAAGTGCTGGAAAGGAGCAGACAAGATCAGTGAGCTGCTTTGACTCCTACCCACGCAAGTTTTCTCTTACAGTTTTGTTCCCCTTACCCTTTGCAGAAAACACTGCGGTGCTCCCAGACGCCCCACGGGCAGTGAGCAGGAAGGAAGCTGTTTGCACTTCCTCCTCCTCCTCACAAGCTCACTCGTGCTGCACTTCAAATATTTACCTTTAAGAAGTCAGACCCCACTACCTCCGATTTTCACACGCAAGCCTAACACACGTAGCAAGGAAGTGTATTAGGTCCTTCTACTGAATCTTGACAAGCAGCTCTATGGATTGTCTTCACATTGATGGGATCCTGTGATTTTGGTGTGCTGCTATTGATAAACAGTGGAATCGCTGAATAATGCATTTGAGTTGTTTTTTTTTTTTTTTTTCTACATATATAGTCTCAGGCTCTGAGATTTTCAGTCCTGAGATTGCTTACTTTTTCAAAACCAAGAGTTAAAATGAGTCAGCCAACATTCCCCACCTGATGCACGCACAGCGCACACACACCTGCAGGTAACTACGTTGCAGCTGAGCAGTTTTCCAAAAATTCTCTTATTTTTGCCAAATCCAGCAGTCAGGGCTGGGAGGCACCGGGCAGGGGGAATTTCTGAATACCCAGCCTAACTTCAGAAAGCCTTTCATTATGGAGCAGGGCATCTCACCAGCAGCACCCACCCCGTCAATCTCTTCTCTCTCAGCATCTCTCACCACGGTATGTGCTAACCCAAGGACTGGGGGCAGGAGTTTCACTCCAGCTTCTTGACCCTGCCTGCAAGTACCAGAGCAACCCAGGCGCAGAGAGGAAAGGTTCAGACCAGCCCTCATCTTGTAACTCAGCTCTTTCAGTTCCCCTGCAAGGAGAAAGCGACACCAACCGTTATTCTCACAGTTTTATTTGTAAAGGACATAGCATGAAAAGCTGTATTTCAATGTACTTCAAAACCTGAAAAACCCATGTCAGTTCGTGATATGTATGTTAAAGTGCTTGATAGAACAATACTTTTACTAATGTCGTCTTGAAAATAATCCAGTTCTTATTCAGTTAGTAATAATGTAAAGACAAAATATACTTAATGGAGACATTTAAGGGTCATTTGAAGCTATACAGGGCACATTTGTACATTTCAAGTGAAACACAAAATACTTCCCCAGAAGATGCGCACCTTCATTTGATTGAAAGAAGGAATTTTCTCAGCTACACCTTCACACAACTATTCTATAAAGACAATTTTGAACAATGATATCTAATTACACATGCCAACCCAGAATAAACGTGAGTAGATTTTGCACTAAACAGAATCGCATTCGCTTCCGAGAATTGTAAATACAGGTTTTGTACACAGCGAGGCGTTGGGTTCTCTGACTCCTTCCAGTCACCGTGCTGGATGTTCGTGGAACAGAACGAGGCAAACTCTGACATTTGCAAACAGGTACTGAGTAGGATTGTAGGCTATAGTTTTTTTTTAAGAGCAGATGCCAGGGAGCTTTGGTCTTTCCCCAGATTCCCTTTCTCAACCAATGAAGGTGCTTTAACACTGAAGTATAAACTGTGTTAGCTTAGATGGCTTTCTCACCATTCGAGTGGGCAGAATGACTTCTGTAAACCTTACAGAAAAAGCCTCACAGTTTCCAATAAACAAAAGTAGTCTACAGAAAAAGAAAAAAAAATCTTACATGAAAGAATAAAAATTCACTATAAAGATCCGTACTCCCAAGGTTGTCAAATAACTAGTCTTCTAGGAACCAGAGGCATCGGCTGTGCCCCTTTAGATGTATCTTGGGGTGCTTTATTGCCTACACAGAAATATTAGACATACATCATTTTTATCATATTATTATTAATCTGATGCGAAACCCGACAAAAAACAAACAAGTCAACACTTGCTAAAAAAGCTGATGTGAAATCGTGTCCAAGGTAAGTGCTAAACGCTCCTTAATGTAGTTTGAAATAGGGGAAGTCCCTGTTTTGAATTTTCAATTTTCTCAGGTTTTGACTCATTTTAACTTAAGAAAGACTTCGTGTACTTATTGCCCTCATCAGCGTGCATGGTTTATTCATCCATGGATGACCTTTAGAGGTGCCCATGTTTCTACTTTATCCTGCTCGCACTTAACCCGTGCCGTGTTGGGTGAATGCTGTGACTGCTGAAGTCATGAATACTGCTTTGCGAACCGTGCAGCAGTAAACTTGCAGAAGTACCCAGCTAAAGAACGCAGATGCTGCTGCAACGAAATCCAGGGACTAAAGAGGCTGTTATTTCAGCAAAATGAAAGCCACTTAGGCTGGGCGTGAAAAAATTATGTACAGCAATTATTAGACATAAAATGCCTGAGTTGTAATAGAAATCAAAACATCGCCCAAGCAGTCATTACCAAACAATGCTGCCACATGGCTTCTGGTGCTAAATGTATAATTTGTTGATAGAGTTAAATAGCAGGGAAACATTTTCAATTGCTGCTTAAGGGTTATCATGCATCTTCTGCAGACTTCAAGCAGGCTCGTCTGGCCACTCAGAAAACCTCAACACCCCAAATTTCACCATTCTGGAAACGTAAGAGAGATGTCACACAGCCGTGGGCTCTGGGTATTAACTCATGACACCATTCACAGCCCTAATGTTAGTTACTCACCACCCACAGAAGTGTCACAGCAACGCTGCCTACAGTATTTGGGATGAGTTTAGTCAGTTTAAGGAAGTACAAGCACAGGAGGGAGGAACAGTTATTAAAAGCTGAAACTCCCATTAAAGTCAACAACTCCCTGACTTCTTTAACGTCTTCAAGATAAAATAAAATAAAATAAAATAAAATAAAATAAAATAAAATAAAATAAAATAAAATAAAATAAAATAAAATACCCACAAAACAAACAAACAAAAAGCTACCCTCACCCTTCTATAACATAACACTCTCCCTTCCACTGAAATGGAGTCACACGAAGGGTTTTCTTCTGGCCAGGAATATGATGTAAAACTTCAACATCAAAATGAGCGCTGCTCCAAGAACTGGACAGCAGAAGGACCACAGGAAAGCAGAGAAGTTTGACAGGGGTCAGGCGAGACAGCCAACCTGATTTTCATTCTCTTTCCTTTTCCTTTTCCCTCTCTCCACCCTCACTCCTCCACCACGTGCACACCATGCCGAGACCTGGCACGCCACAGCCCGTCATTCTGCAGCCTCTCCTGACACACGGGGTGCTGTGCACTCGCAGTGCCAGGCGGGGCCCTTCCCAAGCCACAGCTGAGGGCTCTCGCTGTGAGACAGCCACAGAAATCCACTGACGAAACGGCCGAGATCAAAGGGAACGAACATGTTAGAGCAGACACCTGTATTTAAAGTAGCCTGCAAGAACTAAAAACAGATGAAGTTTACTATGCCCTCAGACACTTACAACTCCCATCTACGAGAAAGGAAAATGCCCTCTGTATTAGCTGCATGGTAGCCACATGACAGTTTTAATGTAATCTTGTTAAATTTTGAGCACAGAGGATTTCAGTTGCTCCCAGTTCCTCAAGACCCATAGCTATACACACAGTCTGTATTACTAACGCGTTAACTGGAAAGAATGTAGGAGGATCCTCAAAATACCAGCTTTTTTCTCCTTTTGCTTCATTCCCTTTTTTGTACCTGGATAGTTAAAAAGAAAAGTAAAACTCAGAGATCCTGTACTTCTCGGAATGCTCATTCTGGGGGATAAAGGAAGACTAGTGACCTGACAGCACTTCAAGACCAGCTGAGATAGTTCAGTAGCACAGCAACGTCGGTGTTTGTGGCTCTACAGCAATGATTCTTCTCAAGTACAGCAAGAATTTGGTACAAGCCAAATTCCTCAAAACGATAGGGGGCAGGAGGGAAGTAATAAGCAATCCACAACACAAACAGGCAGGGGGTGAGGGGAACCACCAAACTACTATAGACAGGCGAGGGACACAGTGAGCAAACCAAGCAAGCCATCGTTCCCCATCTCCGGCCACAGCAGCAGCACTCAAACAGGTCCCAGGCTCCGGGGCTCAGCAGCCCACCTCTCCAGTGTTTAAGCATTTCAGCTCCTGTCTCCCCTTCTGGAGGTCAACAGAAGTGACACAAAAGACCTCATGGAAAAAAAAAGAAAAAAAAAAAAAGAAAAAAATAGACGACACAACTTCTGTGCATGGAAAGGGCTGGGGCTCTGAACAAACAAAAAACAAAGGGAGACCACGTACAGGAGGGTAAACAGCGTACACGTACAACATTTCCAAGAGTGAGACGATCACGATGGCTACATAAGGATATTTGCTGTATTCGTTTGCAATACCTGAAAAAAGCCCTGCTGAGTTTGCGCTGTATTTACACGTTGATTGGCTTCTTCCTTGCAAGCAAGTAGCGGTGTCCCTTCCCACCTCGGTCCTTCCCTCCCCCAGCCCTTCCCCTGGGTTTCAGCTACTCACAGTCAGAACAAGAACATTCAGTCTAAGAAAATTTTCTTAGAGTAATATAATTTCTTAAAGAAGATAGCATATTTACACACATCTAGACACATGAAAATACTCTATTTTATACTAAATTTCTGTTTCAAATAAACTACAATACTGCATCTGAGCTCTCTGCAGCTTTAGAAGACAGTCCCAGTGGGGCACAAACCGGGCTTCCCACTCCCGCTTCTCCCGGCAGCTCTTCCTTGTAGTGGTGCGCTGCCGCCGCGTTCAAGTCCTGACAGGTCTCCAATTGTGGTTTGCTTGCTCGGGAAAGGAATAATGAAGTTCTCAGCAAAGCCATGCTAAACATCCACTCCTTTAATGAGAGATCCTTCTAGGACGATGTTGAAATCTTGCAATGTCTGTAGGACTCGGATAAGGGAGTTGACAGTCATGCGGTCCCGTAGGAGAGCGTTCTCCTCGTACATCCTCGTGATGGGCGGGCACTCTGCCAGTAAGGGGATCCACTGAGGCAGCAAGTGGTCCCTGCAAAGGGGGTGAAAGGAGTTAGTGTAGCACGAAGTACAACAGATCTCAGGCTGAAATTCTTATCCAAGAACAGAACCCAGAATATGCCGTCTCTTTTTGGGGTGACGCATGTTGTTGGCACATAAAAGCTTCCTGTGTAACAATAACCCTCAACTTTATTAGTAAAAGCTTCCTGTGTAATAACCCTCCACTTCATTAGTAAAACATAAGTACCCGTCTGTACTGTAGGAATGCAAATAGAAAGATACGTGGAAAACTGGACAATTGGCTTCAAAAGAATTCAGTAACATTTTCAGATCAGGAAAAGGAAAAATAAAACTCAGAAAAAAACAAACAACAACAACAAAAAACCACAACAGCAGATGCTTTTCCAGTTGGTTTTCAGTGTATCCAGCTATTTATTTCCAACTCCCCCCTAAAATAAACCAAGTCCCCCTCCTCTCCACAAGTGCAAGACAGGAGGCAGCCTGTGTGGAAAGATTCATCTAGAACAGCTTTGCTAAAATTATAATAGACACCCCCTTTTCATAGGCAAAGTGATTCAATGAGAATTTAGAAATGTGCCAACTCTTGTAAAGAAACTCTGCGTTCCCAAAGCCTGCACTTCATCAAAGATACAGCTTCAAGACAGATTTCATACATATGACTGTCAAGCTAACAGCTATTAAAAAAGCTAAAAACATTCTTAGAGGTTTAGACACTAGCCATGTATTATTAGTGCTTCTTTGCTGCAATTTTTTGTCTACTATTAAGGCCGCCTAACAGAGGTGCTGGATATAGAAGGTATGAGATGTCTTAAAATGGAAAAATAAGGGTGGTAGTGAAATGTCTAGCACAAGAGAAGGCATGTAATGAGAAGCAGGTAGGTACCTTGTCCCCAGGCAAACCAGAATTTGGAATTTGCCATCCTTTCCAATGTTCCTTGGAGCTGTATTGATGGCATTCACATAATGGCAGAAGGTTTTGCATGAAGATCTCTGAAGCAAAAGGGCCTCCTCGTTGTCTCCAATCTGGTCACTGGTTTCAAAATAGGCAACGGCTTTCTCTGTAGTGGGGAGAAAAGTCGGAACCTTGTGAGCAGAAGTGCTTCAGCGCAACTCAGAATTACAAAAGGGAGTCCTTAAACAACCTGGCAGGAGATATCGCACAGTTTGTATGCAGATTCCTCACTCTGGAGACAATAGGTAGGTGATGATCTCCCCCTCTGCTGCAGGGCCTGGTCAGCAGACAGGCACACACCTGAATCAAGGAGCCCCCCCGGAGTGTCTGTCAATGGCTTCATTGTAGTGATACCATCAGCTTTCATTTTTCACATTTTCTGAGTAAGTACTTAGACTTAAGGCTAAGAATCTCAACTTGTGAACATGTTTTAAGGGAAGAAGTAAGCATTAAATTACTGCAACAACTGCCTACAAATATGCATCACCAGAAGACCAACCAGTGCAGTGCTTAGGATAGTCCTCAAACAACTAGAAACCTAACCCTTTCTCTCCCTGCCCTTTACTTACTTTCCTCCCAGCATCAGCTGCCACTCTACATCTTTCCGGGCAGGAAAACAGTTGTTTTAACATTTATCTATAAATATATGACTAGAATTTGAAATGCTCTTATATTTCTGCACAGATTCTACTTTATGTGGAGTTCCATATTTCTCATCTTCCATCCTGTTTCTCATTCACTTTAAGCAACCTGCAGCAGGTGCAAGGGAGGAAAAAACTAACACCCTAGCTGAAAAGAATCCCAGGCCTGTGCATCAGTAGCCATTTCACCCTCATCTTTCTTCTCCTTTGGCCTCCAATTCACACACCAGCTTACCTATGAAATCCCAGATGAAGACATTCTTATGAAAAATGCGAGCGGATTTGAACCCATGGTGGAAGACCTGCTCCAGAGCCGCGACCAGACCGTTCTCCCCACACAACAGAATGGTAAGGCTCCCTCTCTGTGGGAAACAGGGAGTCTGTAAGAACACCTTGTCTTGTTCATATGCCACCAGGCTTCAAATCTAAAGGCTAACAGTCTCCACTGATCAATTTCTGTTTATAAACATATTGACATGCATTGTAGACACCAGGCAGGTAAGTAGGAAGTACCTCTTTCTCTGGCTTGTGAAAATGTTTCACGATATTGTTCACGGCTTCTCCAATTCCCTCTTGGATCTGCCCTGCATTAGGCTCTGTGAAATGGTAGAAAGAACACTAGCTGAAGATACCAACTTAAAAACATTCATCAAATTCGCACAATGACAGAGCTTGAACTACAGGAATTATTTGGTATCTTTAACAGGGAAGAGTTCAGGGAGTCATTTCTCTTGAGTAAACGTGAGCCTTAATTATAAGCAACTGACGAGCAATCCTGGAATAGTCAAATAAATTGCCCTACTTAAAAATGCACAACCCAAGGAGCTGGCTTGATAAATATTTTATTTGAGTTAATCACATCTTGCCCATCACAGAGTACAGGAACCCTCTGGTGAAGAGACAATGAAGGATTGTAGACAAGTCGTTTGACTCGCTTCTGTGCAACTCAGGCCAGAAAACCCTGCACCCATGAATTCCTTACTTGCACCCACAAGGTATTTTTGAGCCACAGGTATCTGTTCTAGGCCCACGTCTAGTCATTGTAACACTGTGAGGAAACAGATGCTTCTGAAAGTCAGTCGCTTCGGTGTTAAAAATGTATGCCCTGTTCCTGCTGAATCTGAATCTGTTTAGCTGTATGCTTCTGCTGCTGCAGCATGCCATGCTTCCACCTGCTACCATTTCATCTTCCTATGCAGGTACCTCCAAGAAAGTTATCCAGTCCCTCACTCATTTTCTGATTAAAACAGATCGAACTTTTAAAAGCTCATTGTAAGCAGATATTTTCCAGACTTTAATCCCTTTTATTATTCTTCTATTAGTCCTTTCTAGTTTTTCATACATATATATATATATAGCCATGAACTTGTCCTACGATTGCTATTTTGGAAGCATAGAGTAACTCAGAATTATTTTAACACGTGATGACCTCCAGTCTTTGGCAGGTCTAAACCAGAGCCTTCTGTAGCTCAAAACATAAAGAGATTTTTGGGCCCTAGCATTCTCAGACCCAAGGAAATGCTCTGCAAGTAGCTCTGATGCCCACTCCTTCAGCTAATATGGACTCATATACGTGAAGAGCTGCAGGGGTCCCAAGACGATTTTAAATTGCTGCATTACTCTTGGAGGCTAATGTTTCCTTGCTTGACATTTCAGCAGTCATGTCCTCTAATTTTACCGGAGTTAGACAGATTTATGAACGTGATCCACTCTGTGCTCACCTGTATGCATGAGAGGAGAATGCCTCATATGGCCCTTACAGCCCTGTAGTAGCCAGGTGCCTTTATTCACAACAGCTAATGTGAGGGATGTGAAGCTGCTGTCCCCGTGGCTCCCTCTGGAGACAGACTCCTCCGGAAAGCAGGTCTCAGCACCCACATCAGGCTCTAAACTGCCCTCCTGAGAAGCCTGTCTACTCCCTGACTGCAGAGAGGGCCAGGAAGCTGAGCAGCATCAGCTCCTGTAAATTCTGCTGCTGTCTCCTCCCCCATCCTGTATCTCCACGCTCCAAGGACAGAGGTTATCCTCTCTCAACTGGCAAACGGGGACACTGAAAGAGGCAACATTCACCATCACAGAGCGAGCTGCAGACACAGGAACAGGGGCAGGAAAAACTCGTAAGCTTGGGGCTGTTCCTCTGCACCAAGCCTTGCTTCAGAAGGAGCTCTCCTGTTCACAGAAGCTTTATTTCTGCCTCTGCCCCCTTCTCTAGAGCCCCGGGGATGAAGGAAAGGACTTACTGGTGTTCTTTCCTGTGAGAGAAGTGATGCTCAGCCGCCGAGCTGTGGTAGGAGACTTCTGCTGGGGTGGGGTACGGCACTGCTTTCCCAGCTCTTCGTCGGACGTGGAGGACACCAGCTCTCCAATAAGTATTCGCTCCAAGCTGCCGTCGTCAACGCCCTTTCCCAGCCATCGCCCGCAGGGAAACCTGCCAGGCACCCAGCACAAGCACAGGTCAGTCACACAGCTGGCTTCATCTCAAAGCCACAGTCAGCAACCATACACACTGCCAACAGACAGGAAGTAGCAGCCAAAAACTCTTCCCAAAGTAGAGTTCAGCAGGCAGCCTCCACTGCACCGCAACTCAAAAGACCAAAGCAGAAAACTACATTCACCTTCATCCTTAGGGAAAAGGAAATATGCAAAGCTAGCATGAAAGCACAGGACAACAGAAAGTGCTATACACTTATTTAACTGGCCACATGTAGATTTCTGCGGGGTTATTTTTCAGTTGCACCCACACCTGATAACCAGTCTTTAAAAATATTACGATGATCAACAATTACATCCTCATGCAGAGTTTCCACCCAACTGAAGCTGTGACTTTTCCTCATACCCAAACCCCAGCTGCTGTTCCTATACTTTTGATCCCATCCTCAGTCCTAATAAACTTCATGAATGTGTCCATACTACCAGTTTTTGTACACGTCTGCCCACTTCTCTCCATACTCTGTACCCAACCCTGAGCTGTGGAGCCCACCTCTCTGAGTTATAATTTTCAAAGTCCACAGTCAGGAAAATAATTAAGTTTGTATAGCCAGATGTTTTGTAAAAACAAGGATGAGTTAGGAGATTTTTTCTATACAGGAGGTATGTACTCAACGGATTAAGTAATCATTGTAACCTTTCATTTAATTGTAATTGAAGTTTCTGTACATTTGTTATATGAATTATGACATTCAAATGCTTTATAAACAAAACAAAACAAAACAAAAACAAGAAAAGCAAAAAACTAAAGATCTGCCCTAATCTGTCATTCCAGCTCATGGGGTTTAAAGACTTCACTCGTGCACAATTTTACCACGCTGCTTTGAATGAAGAGATTTAATTATTAGACATAAACATTTGAATCACTTCAAAAGCATCCATACTGTCTGTCCTGTCTTAGAGAGATGTAAAGAAAATCCTACATTCAAGCCTCATTTAATATTTATCAGATTTTTTGGCTTAATGTAGAGCTTCTGAAATGAGAGATCCGGGGGTGGGGAGACCTACCCAACCCTATCTGGTACCCAAATCTACCCGCACTGCTCCATTGTAGTTTTGCCCAGTTGAGGAGATAACACCTTGCTTTTTCTAGAATAATCAGTAGACATTTCAGATGACGACAATTAAAACTTGTTGCTTACTTGTATGTGTGTCCTGTTATTTCATTTCTGACCATGACACAATCAACCAGCCACTTGGCTAGCAGCCCTGAGTTGTCATGACCAATCTGAACAGTTGTCAGCTTTCCTAAATTCTGGCACTGAAACAAATAACAGTTTTAAATTAATTTAAAACAAAACAAACAAACAAAAAAAGGCAACCCTCCCCCCAACACATGTGGTCTCAAATATATGTTTTTATTCAATTTCCTTTGACTTATGTAGCAAGTATTTTCAACCAAACGTGAGAAATGTTTTGAAAAGCAGAATAATTATTGTTTCAGAGTAAAATGGGAGAAAAGAAATATCTTGAAATAAAAATCATTAAAAGCTTATGAAGAGACTACGTTCTTTCTTGTGAGAACTCGCTCTGAATAATTCTGAGAAGTGTTAATTAGAAATTTCTGAGCTATGGTGATAAAAAGATGCACCTTTGTAGAAAAAATTGACCTTCAGAGCAAACAGCCTCCCAAAATTGCATTTTGAGCACACTGACCTTTGCTTTAGTGGAACCGCTCCACACTATGAAGCAGCCCCTAGATCTTCTGTTATTTTCGAAAATCAACTTGCTCATTTTTGAGCAAGACAAAAATCACTTGCATGAGATGCTTAAGATCACAAAGAAACAGAACAAGGAAAACAAGGGACTGTGAATTCCAGTGCAATATGTAATTGTAGGTGGGGCTGGCAGCAACATCTATTAATGTCACCTAAGCACTTCCCTTACAAGACTTTGGTTTTCATTGCTTCTGCCAAACAAGCAGCTTGGGCTGACATTTTCCATAGTGGGTGGCTACCCAAGCTGATATTTTAGGAAAACTTCAGTCAGAAGAGTATTCCAGAACTGTATTACTATAGTCCTGAGAAATGTCCGCTGTTTTGCTTGTTAGAAGCCTGGAGAGCTTTTCTACAAAATACTGATGTCTGAATGAGAGGCGTGCACCATATTAGGAAAATAGCTTGTCTGACAAAATTCACTTATATTTGGGCAAAGGACTATTTATTTTTATTTTAAAACGCACAGTTGTTGCTTAAGGTGAGTCTGCATATGCACAATGGGCACAACTTCGATTTTAGTGTTATTCCTATGTAATCACTCCTTAATGGATATGGTAAAGCCTGGAACTACAGGAGCCCAACGGGGCTTTCCCTGCAGCCACCAGCTGCTTTGGGGTGGCACCAAGCCAACTTGTAATTGATGGGCAGGAAGGCAGAGGGAAGCACTGGTAAGTCAAATGCCAAGAGAAAACCACAGTAAGCAGAGAGAAGTGTACCCAACGGGGATGGGAACTCTACAGTTTGCTGGTGGTAGCACCTGTGGCTGGGAAGTTGAAAAGCACAGGGCTTAGACTGGCTGGTTGGAAGGAATGCAGCACTGTCAGACAAGGAGTGGGAGGAGAGGAAATTTGGGACTGGCCAGAGCCGAAACTGTCTGAAAAGACCTGGGTGGTGTTAAGTGGGAAGACAGTTTGAAGGAAGGTAAAAAATAAAATAAAATAAAATAAAAAAAAAGGAAGTGTGGAGTCAGAAGCGAGCCCAGAAAAGGAAGATTAGGATTGATGGCAAGGAGATTTGGAAGGGAATGAGATGTAGCGATAGATTAACGGTGAGAAGAGGAGCCCTGGGCTGGGACAGGGACAGCAGTGAAGCCTGTGTTTAAAAGTGGTACGTGCTTGAGGGAAACTTTAAGCACAGGATAGGCAGGCAGCACTGTTTTCCCAATTTTGTGTTTATAACTACCTTGAAAACCTGAAATATGGTATTCTCAAGACAATAAAACCTCACCAAGATTTTTGGGCAGTATGTTTCAAATTGGCAGGTAAAATGGCATGGGTGTGCACTCACCTCAAATGTCATTTCTAGGAGGTTTTTAGGAATCTGCATTACGCCTGTGTCTCCCAGCTCTCCCGAAACACAGATCCACGGGTTTGATGTGGTTATTGCATTGCTCAGTTTTTTGATGGGGATTATCACTGACCTATACGGGATCACTGAGAACGGGGAGGGAGGAAAAAATAAGTTAGTCGTGACCTCTTTTTCCCCTCAAAGCATGCAATTTCTGGGGTAAACCACGGTGCTCCCTCGAAGGCATGACCTTGCTGCAGGTGCCAGCAACACGGCGAGGGGCAGGTACCCCCTCCCTGCTCCCCACAGAAGGCGAGCCAGGAGGGGCACGGCAGCCCCCAGGCTGGGAAAGCTGCCTCGCAGCGCCTCTCTGGGGCGGTTTCCACCGACATTAATTCCTTGCCGGAGCCGATCTGAGAGGGCAGCCCTCGGCTGCGGCTCCTGAAAGCTCCCGAGGGCAGAGCGCGGCCTGGCGGCATGGCGGGACATGGCGGGACACGGCGCGACATGGCGGGGCCGCGCGGGGGTGCTGCAGGCCCGCTCAGCCAGCAGCCCGCCGGGCCCGGGGGCGCTGAGGGGATTTTTAGGGGGAGCCCCAAGTGCTGACGGCATGGCCGAGGTCTCAGATCTCTGTGAACATCCCCCCCATCGTTATATCGTTATTCCTACTCCTGCTATGATGTTCTTAACCCTGCGCCACCTATACGTACTTCAGACACCGACCCCATTTCGATACGGCTCGGTTATTCCACACTAACACTACAAGGCTCTCTTTCCCTGTTTCCCAAGCTGCCTTTTTGTCTCTAGGAGCCAAGCCAGCCTTTTCACTTTTAGTGTGGAAAACAATGATATCACGCTCAAAAACCCAACGCAAAACACCACCCCGCATTCCTAGCGCATGCCCCAGCTGCCAGGCTGAATGCCCTGGGGAAGCAAGGTAATCAAGGATGAGTAAATCCCTTCGTGTGGGGATTTATTTCTTTAACAGGAGAAAAAGTAGAACGAGTGAACGAGAAAGGCATGTAAAACTCGGTTCACTTCACGCTAAACGAAAGCTAAAGGCTGCTAAGGTGAATCCAAATAATCAGGTCATCCCATGGGGGGCGGCTTTTCTTGGCGTTGCTCAGTGCTAGAGAGAAAGATTCGTTTTTGGGTTTTGATCCAATCTCTGCTCTCATTCTTACAGGAAGGGAAGGGAGGGGGAATCTTTGGGCATTTAAGGAAAGAAAGGAAGAAATATAAAATATACAGCAGAGCACAAAGTGCTTTGTATTTCATCCTCTGAGACCTCCATCATTTTCACAGTCTGCAGAGAGGAGGTTGGGGGTGTACATTTAGTGAATGCCAGAAAGAAGCATTAGGATGGAGAGGACTTGCCTGGGAGGGAAGATGAAAGAGACTATACAACTCAGCGAGGAAAACCAAGTGCAGCAGCACTCTGCTGATTACTCTCCTTTGTGCAGTGCTCTTATCCTGAACACTCCCCCACAACCTTGCTCTCCAGCTGGTTTCCCACAGCAACATCCAGCACTAAGGTTTCCAGATAAGGACTCAGCTACTCAGACTCTGGCAACAGCAGCCCCTCTCGCAAATCCTGACAGCAACAATTTTTTATTCAGAGGGAAAAAAAATGATCCTCCAACTCACCGATTGTGGTGAAGACACTTGTGAAGCAGAAGTAATCCACAGCATTCAGTGAGAGAAGGTGGTACAGAAACTGCTCCCGTTCTTCCTCACAGCGCAGGAAAGCATAACGCTTGTAAAGTTTCCTAGTAGAAACAAATACATTGCTATCTTGTCGAAAAAGCACCAAGTTAAGTGATCTTCACAGGATGTGTGAAAAGTGAGATTCCCCAGCTGATACAAGCTGTTAGAAAACCATCGAGGGCATTTACTTCTGGTGCTACATGTATTTTAGAGACCTCTCTGAGCTCCATGGTGCCATAGCAAGGCTACTGAGCTCATCTCATTAAAGGATCAGTTTTTGTTTTGCTGCAAAGCACAGATGTAAACTAGAGCCACTCATAACAGCAGATCTGTGCCAACACACAGCAACCCCATTTAAGTCTGCTCAGGCTTTCCCACCATTATCTTCCATGAGACATATCTTCCCACCATTGAATAGCCTTGCCTAATGAAGGCTAATCAATGATCCATAATCCAGCAGAGAAAACTAAACAGGAGGCATCAGACTATTTAACCAGGCAGCAACAGCAACTTTGCTGCCACTCTTTGAGTTCTGCAAACCCAGCGTACATCACCAGTTGCCCAGAGCAGTGCAAAGGTACACCAGGAATTAACCTGGCACCACTCAGAGAAAGCACGTAGCTCATAGCACTGCCTGCAGGCAGCAGTCTCCCAGTAAACTGCTAACACAGGTAGAGGTAAATGAAACTTCAGGGAAAGGCAGGTCTGCCACCATATCTTTGGCTGATCACCCAAGAGGCTACTGTCTCCTCTTTCTTCTCATTAGCATATTTGGGTATTTATTAGTTTCCAGCACAATCATGCGCATAGCTCATCACAGAGCCAGTTCTGCCAAAAACTCCATGCAATAGCGTGGATGTTTTCTCTTCATAAGTTTTTTTTCCTCCTAAACATCTCTTTGAGAGAACAGTCAGGAAACATCTATGCAGGCAGATCCCTAAGTGCCTGTGCTTGCAAAAGGAGGCAGCGCTGGGGGGAGCTGCTAAGTGGCTGGGAGGGCTGGCCTCCAGCCCAGCTCAGCTGCAGTCAGGACGTGCGCCTGCATTCAGCTGAAGTCAATGTTAACACAGGACCACTGTAAAAAAAACCACACTGCTGCTTCATTTGCACAAGTTATAAGGATTGTGGGTCTGTGAAGTGGCTTGGATCAATGCACTGACCCAAAACCTAATGTTTCCTTCCTGAAAATTAGTTTTCCAGGCGGATGAGCAGACTCCTGCCCTGCTGGGTGGGCAGTAGCTCCTCCACCAGCCCTTCAGTCCCTTCTGGCTGGAAGCCACTGAACCCAGACGAGGCACCTGGCTGTGCCCTGAGCCTGCAGAGCCCCTTTGGCACACCAATGAGGCAGATGTGAAAGTGAAGCTTTGAGAACAAGAGCCAACTTACTTGGCAAGTGGCTGGTTAGAAAGCAGCTGCTTCAGGTGCTGAGACAAAAGCTTCTTCTCCAGAGAAAGCCTTATCCAGGCTCGGGCTCGCCCCACATCTGTCTTTATCTCACTCATGTTCTGAACATGCCTGAAATGGATGGGAAAACATAATAATAAAAATAAGTGAATCATAAAAATCCTACAAGCTTCCAATAGCAGCATCCAGTGTGAGGCAGCAGCTGGACTGGAAACTGTCTCTTGATATTAGATGCTGCAGGGTAAACAGAGCCAAATCCCATCCGCTCCCCTGCATGTGACAAGTGCAACAGAAGTTCATGTGATTACTTACACGTAAGCACAAAAACCTGTCTGAAAACCAAGAGAAAGAGCCTCCTGTCAGCCCCAGGCTGGCCTGGGGATAGGGGCAGCCCCTCCTGGGCACAGCAGGTTGTGTTGCAAACACTCTACAGCGCACATCAGCTGCTCTGCATCCCACTTGCTTAGCCAAGGTGAGCAGGGGTAGACCTGCACATCCCCACACTGCCTGGGGTAGATGTCCCTACAGACATTGCTTATGATGTAGGAAGAAAACCAAACCAAACCAGCCACCTGTGAGACCCATTTATACTACAGTAGCTCCCCTAAAGCTGCTGACACAAACAGGTATGGCTGGGAGGGCAGCGGACAGTACACATCTTAAGAATCTCTCCAAACCACAGTCTAGTCTGAAGGCAGAGCTAACAAACCCATTAATGGCAGCAGCAATAGGAAATCTGAGGAAAAAAAAAAAAAAAAAAGAGGATTATTAGAGAAAACAGTGACAGGCAGAATCACATTTTCAGGGATGTAAGAGGTCCTCGTGTAAGTGGTAATCTGAACACCATGCGCAAAGTCTGTAGGAAAGCAAAACTGTAATACTGGGGCTTTTTTTCTGTGGTTTTGCCTTTTTTAAAACAAAAACAAAACAAAAACTTCCTATATTTCAGTTTAGAGAATGCCAGAAGCTCCAGTTTGAGAGCACCAGGAGCTTTAGAAGAGGAAGAGAACTGCCATGGCAGATTGAAGCCGCTTCCCCAAACCCCCCACTTAGTTAAATAAAACGCAAGAAAAATGACTAACAGTTCCCAGCAGGGGAAAGAAAGGGCTGCAATTTCTTAATTTTCACGCAGTTTGCATATTAAGTGCACAGGCAATTCAGCCCTCCAAACCTTTGTGGCAGGCTCCACGTAGCATTGGCTGAGTTTGAGCTGATCTTTGTTGCCATCATCTTTTACAGCCCCCTGCGCATCGCTGCGTGTTAGGGAATGTGGCAATGTTTACTCCAAAGAAAATCCAGCAAAGTCATGCTGTGACTGATGCTTTCTGTGTTGACTAGTATGGTCTCACTGTCTCGTGTTTTTCCCCATCTGCTATACCCAAACACGTGCTTTGCGTTATATTTAGACCCTGCATTATTTGAGAAAAACACTCTCTTGTTTATAGAGCTTCAAGCATAATAGGACTAGGGCCTTAGGAGCAAATTTGCAAAGCACAACCTAGTGCTGTCCAGAAATACTTGTTCGCTCTGAACAAGTGAGGAGGATGCCAGACATAGCTCATCAGCCCTCGACACTGCTCTCTGCTAGGCTAACCTGCCCCAAGCCTCAAAACACAGATGGGCCTTTGCAATCCAAGTGGAGCATCACATAAAACCTACGTTTGTGCAAATTCCTTTAAAAAACAGATTTATTATTATTCTTATTTTCCAATAAAAGAAGCTTCCTCCTGTTTCCTAACGTGACACATGGATGGATGTGTCAGAGGCCTGCTCTCTGATGGACAGGTGAGGAGCACGAACTCTCAGTGCCCTGTAAAACAAAACCAGAAGGGCACAATACGCTCACATACAAGTCCTTGCCCTTTGTAAGCAAGCTCACGAGCCTCCCTCTTTTAGCAGAGATGCCTACCAGCTGAATCACCACAGAGATCCTTGCTCCTGGCACTGGCAAGCCCTTTGTGAAACATCCCCCTTCTTGGCTCTGAGCGTGGCAGCCAGCACTAGACCTTGCAGCGCAGACAGCTGGGCACATGGGCAGGAGTCCTTGAGAAGCAGGACATGCACTTCACTCGACTACACAGTGCTGAGATGCTCTCTTCAGACATTTTTTGCCTTTTGGGATGGGAAGATCAAAGCACAGAACATCTCTCTCCCTCTCCACTCTCCCTGACTTGGCTTAAATTACACCTAAGACGAAACACTAAGTAGAATATGTTATTTCACTGTGAGTGGATTCACACACAGATGGACTCAACTGTATTCTGTGCATGCTCTATCCCCCTTTATTACCTGTTTCTGCTTGAGACCAGATTGGCATAAATCACGCATTTGGGACAGATCAGGATCTGCAACCATGCAGCTTGGCAGAAGCATTAAGAAGATTCAGTGATCCATCTTGGTGTCAGCAGAAGCAGAGTGTGGCAGAACAGAACATTCAGGAACGCAGATTTATTTCGTTCTCACTGGTGACAGTCAGAACAGCTCTATTTTTATCAGTGACCTCAGTGTAAGCCCTGTGTGCTCACCGCTGCACAGCAAACTCTTTTTGTCAGAGTCCTGAACGGCAATTTCAGTGCAATTCCCTGGGTCGGGACTTGCTTTTTAATCCCATTAGCAATAAAGAAAAATCTACTTTCCCTGCTGGATGTGAGCCTGGGGTACGGCGAGACATTGCCTCTGCAAATAGCTGTGCTGCCAGGAGAGGTTACAGCTGCTCAGCATCACCACGCCACCGAGGACAGTGCGAATGCTCCCAATCCCCATGCAGCCAGAAGAGAGCTGTATTTAGCTGGTACCATTCAGGACTTTGATAACCCAGCCTGTTTTGACTGCAGCAGGTTACGAAGCACTTCTGTGGGTGCAGCGCCCAGGGCTCGCACCCCAGGCTGGACCCTGCTTGTGGGAGGGGTGGCACGGCCAGACCCAAAAGCTGGTCACAAGGAAGGGCTTGCCTGAAGGGAAGGACTCAAAACCAGAGCCCAGCTGGACCAAAAATGTTGGGTCCATGCAAGAAGCAAAATAAACGTCTTGAGCATTTTCTGTACCACATCTAAGATGCATAGCTTTGTGAGGGAGGCAGAGGACACACAGCATTACCTACAGCACAGGCTTATCACAGATCCAAGAGCGTGACTGTGATTCAGCCCTGCTGTTTAAGTTGTTTACACAACCTTGCATGAGCCATCAAAAACAAGCTGTGCTTAAGGCAACGTTTAATCCTCTCACCATTCATTCAGTTAGCACCACAACCCCGGCAATTTAACAATTACCCATCCTTCCAGCTTCAGCATAAATGTGTGTGTGCAAACAAATATTAGCCAGCATTCCTTCCAAGCAGGAGAAAGGATGCCACGAGAATACGCATGACAAATTCAACTCACCATCTGCCTGGTGTTTTGTGTGACCAGACATGTTTGTGTACAAGCGTGAATACCCAAGATACCACAAAAAGTAGTATTCTGCCTCTGTACTTTGAAAAGCAGTGGAAGCAATCCTGTGACTCAAGCTGCAGAGCTCAGGTTCGTGCTGGACTTCCATTAGGGAGCTTAGCAAGGGTATGGAAGATGAAATGCACGCACTGGTGAGCACTACTGGGAATCTCCCAGTGTGCAAGTTTCCGCTCCAGCTCCTCCTTCACCCTTTCCTGCCACTGACCTGCTACAAGCCATCAGCCCCACAGGACATGGTTAAGTAAATAGCTGCCATGTCCCATGAGAAGGATGCTAAAATGGCAGACACATGTTCAAAAAGCCCCTCTGACATTATACTCCTAATTACACTGCATGCGCTCTCCCTCCTGTTCCCTTGTAATGGCGCATCATTTCAGCCCTACATGGCACGTTGTATTCTTCAAACACAGAGTGCAAGATCCTTAAACCAGATAATGTAAAACAAGATAGTTGTACCCTGCAGGTGGGAAGAACAGTCATTCTCTTTCAGAAAAACCTGACTAATGCATGTGATCCCACATCAGAACAAAATGATCGGTAATAACACACATGGTAAAATCACATCACTGTAATCATAGATAGCTCACAAAAACATTGATTAATCTTAATTGTGCCTTCTTTTTACGTGGAAGAAGGATGTGGCATTACAAGAAACAATGCTCACATTCCCTCCCACTTTAAATTGCTTGCAGCTCTTTACAGAGGAGCGTTATTGCATTATTCCTGCCCCCTTTTCTATGGCACTTCTACCCCACTGAAGTGCTTGGTTGTGGCAAGTGAAGTGTCAAAGCAGTGACGTGACCTGGCTTGATCATGGAGATGCCCTCAGGAACAACTGTCTGGTGCTGTCACATCAGCTTCCACCCCTTCTTATTCCGTAATCCTTCAGGACTCACCTAAATACTAGGCTCATGTACATTTGTACATTTATTACTATTGGTCATAAAATGCTAATTGAAAAGGGAACATTGCTCAGACACTGCAAGCAGATTTTTATGTCCCTTTGTTTCACGTATCAACCATATTTACTTGGTCAATAATTTAAAGCAAACAAAAAGAAACAAACTCAATGTACCAAGGGATTCAATATTCAACATATCGTTTGTAGAAACTGGCTTTACTGCTAGAAGAGACACCCTGGAGAAGAAAAAAACAATGCCCAAGTAGAACTTGGTGCATTTTTCACAGTCTTTTACCTAAAATAAGTAAACATGCAAAAAGTTTTGTAACAGAAAAAGGTAATGGTCTAGATTTCAATGCAGGCTGAGGAGAAGCTTTAATTCCACTTAACCTTTGTAAACCCAAAGCTAGTGAGGATCTTTACATTATGCTACCCAGTTAAAACCACAATGAATGCTTTAGGAATCAAATTATATACCTCATATCTTGTATCAGGGAAACCCTCAAAGTAGGCAAAGTAATTCCTGTATCAGACTTCCGTCTTTCTGGTCCAACAGCAACTACAGTGGAGAAAACACATGAAGTTAATACAAAATTATAGTAGTGGTCTGCAATGTGTTTGTTTTACATAATGCTGAAAACAATCTTAAGTCACTGGTAACTGCAACAACTCTGTTCATTAGCATTATCCCTATCCTGGAAATGTGGAAGCAGACAAAAGAAAAAAGTACTTATTACGTTACCCATTTCTTCCTTAATTCAGCAATTAACTTGGGGATTTAAAAAGCTTCCTTTTCCATATGTGAAATAGATTAATATAAATCTATACAGTGGTGAGTTGAGTTTTATTAGTAGTACGTTATATGGGAAACTCACAACTGAGAAGGATGTGATAAAATTAAGCTACAGTAGCACAGAAGATGCAAAGAATGCCATGCGTTTCTGTACTCCTCTGATCAAACTGCTTTGCGGTGACACATTTTGTTCTCAGGAATTTGTGCCTGTCAGCCAGCTTAGCACATTACTCAGTGAAGTTTACTAAAAACTCTTTTGATGAGCGGGACTAATTCATCCATCGATGCATCCTTGAGGACCAATCATGAAGTTGCCCTCTGCAGGACGTGAAGATTTCCAGAGTCCTTGAAAGATGACCCACAGAGACCTTCACTAAAGCCGCCATGGCACAGGGAGATCTCAAGGTCATCAGAAAACCAAAGTCTCTTACAACACAGAAGTAATTTAGTGATTGTAAAAGGCCAAACCAAAGCATAACCTGTGTGCCTAGACTGATGGATGGAGATTAATTGTACAATGTCTGAACTGTACCATCCACCAGTATAAAGATTTATTGAACATGGAGATATGCACATTGTGATTTGGGAGACAGATTATGATCAGTGGAAGAAAAATATCAGCTGTCTTAGCCATGGCTCCAAGCCTTCAGCTGCTTCACAAATAGTCTCCTACAGAAGCACAGCTTCTCACACCTTAGTCAATGATGACTAAAAGGGAATGAAGGTAGCAAACAGACATTGAGTGATTTCCAGACAGGGATGGTAAGCAGCCTCATTTCTCTCCAATAACATCAAGCTATTTTGTCCAGACATCAAGGCAGCTTCATAATGATTACAAAAGGCCTCAGAATGTAGACGTGATATTAGCAAGCAAATGCTCTGAAATTCCTATATGGATTTCACATGGCTGCACTGTTCCTCGCAGGCCTGAGTTCACCTGCTGTGATGGACCTCCCCAGGGAGTGAACTGCTGAGTACTCACCTGGGGACTCTGCACTGTGCTCTTGCTTCTCTTCTCTCTCCTGGTACTGAAGTAAATGGGACCACAAAGCAGATTTCCCCTGAAAAATTGAATATGAAGTAGCTTTAAATAAATCAGCCAATGAAAAGATGCAGCAAAATAGTGGGATAGAATTTCAGTGGGATAGAATTTCAGTAGTGAGTATGATTTCACTTCTCTTGGGCCACAAGACCTCAGAAAAGGACAGCATGGTCCCAGTGATCTAGCAGTAGGACCACTTGCTTTCTTTGTTCTCTCCCTGGTTTTGCTTCTGAAGGTTGAAAGATGAGAATCCAAACACGAGTTTGACAACATCATTGCAATTTCCAGAGCTGCCTTGCAAAAAAAGAAACCCTCACAAGATATGAACCAGTGAATCTGAGCCCAAAGATACCTCCCCTGCTTTATGTTGGAATGACGCTACTGAGCAGCAGCTTGGAAGGTATGGGGGCATTCAGTATTTGACAGAGCACCGTACATACAAAGTCCCAAGTTTCCAGTTACCAACCTGCTTGACCTGCAGACCGTGACTCCAGATTCTTTCCAGCAGATCACAGAGACTAGCAATCAATGTATTTTCCTCCAGACCAGTTATGTTGGCTTCTCCATGTCCCAACTCGACTGCTTCATGGCCCATCTTCTCTACCAACATACGTTTAGTCTAATAATAATAATAATAAAAAAATAGAAAAAAACCCAAAAGGTTTCTAAAAAAGGTTATCTCAAAAGGGACAGAATTTATAGATGAATTTACTAAGACATGGTTGGGGATGATAATCTAGAGACCATTGCTAGTAGCTTGGCCTGAGAAACATTAAAAAATGCAAATCTGTATTATTAAACCACACTGTCCTGTTTCTACACCCTTCTACTATTGTCCTGTTCCTACACTGCTGATTTATTATTGACCAGTATCAGACAGAATACAGAGCTAGATAGATTTTTGTTACAAAATTATCATTATATAAAGAAACTATTCTTCAATGGAAATAAAAGCTTCTTAGCTTTTTATTTTTTTAATTTGTTATTTATTATTTATTTTTTTATTATTTTTATTTATAAAAACTGCTATACTTCATTAGCTCTGCATAAACAGCATGCACAAGTTGCACATGCTAAACGCTTCCTTTTCTGACTGAGGGTCTTGATCCCATTACGTTTAGGTTACCTTTAAATCTGAACAACTAAAGGAAATCCTCCTTAAAATATCTGAGATCATCCTGATTCTCCTTCCTGCCCTTTTTACTCTTCCCGCCAACTTTGACTGCATAAACAGAAGAATGACAATATGCTTTCTTCTTTTCTTAGCAGTTGAAAAATATAACACAGAGGGATATCCATCCTGTAAATAGCCCAGTACACCAACAGACCAACATTGTTCCTGCCGTGAAGGACTTTCAGGATACAAGATGCAGATGCTATTTATGTTCAGCATAAGCAATAGGAGAGCATGCAGAAGGATGAAGGAGGACTTACCTTCATGCGACATTCCTTCAGCAATCCTTCCACAAATTTACTGTTGGTCTGTGCAATCACAGCTGGAGAGAGGTCCGAGAGTTTGGGCTGCCTTAAATTTTTTCCTAGACTCCTTGCCTCCTGCATATATTTCTAAAAATAAACAGAATAATTTTAGGTATAGCAAGTCAGAGGGGTTCTCCTCATCCTAATCCTAGGCAAGCAGATGCTGGTGAAAAGGAATGAGCTATTGTTAAGCTAGTAACAACATGATTTGTCTGATGCTTAAGCGTCAGGCTGAAGAAGTGGAAAGCTCCCTTATGACAACACAAAAAGCCAGATATTCTCCTGTGTGGTATCAGAGCAGTCAACACTAGCTAGTGAACTGTGCTGTTAGCCACTAGCACAAAGTTAGCCACACCAAGTGCATAAAAGCGTGAAACCTTCATTCAGCAACAAAGTCAAAATACCAAGGAAAGTTTCTTTCCATTGTTATTTGACTTTCACTAATAAGTAAAAAGCCCTTTGTCTAGTTTCTTGACCAGACCATTCATGAATGGAAAAAAAAAAATCTTTGAAAAGAAATTGCAAGAAGCAGAAATACATCTAGTGAAGGAGAAAGATTTCACCCATTACTTTGCATCTGAATAGTTCATGTGGGAAAAAAACAGACTTGATTTTATTCTCAATTAACTTCTTAATTACAAGTGAAGCTCATTTCAAATGAAACTGACATTTAGGATCATTCTTGTTTGTACTGTAGGGGTGCTAATTGAGAAGAATGTACAATAACTGGCATGCTTTTTAAAAAGAGATCCAAGCTACGAGAAAAGACTTTTAAACCTCCTCGCTTCACTGTGGGTTGGGTTTTGTTTGTTTGTTTGTTTTTAAGCAAAAAACTCAAGCCCATCAAGAAGTGTCACCTGCCCTGACACCTGTGAGAGGGCTACATGCTCAGCAAAACTAAGAAGTTGGCCACATTTTGGTGTGCAAATGGGAAGCCTATCAAAAAATTGCCCAGACACTATTCATGAAGTTTGTGTTAAGAACAGTTAAATAATAGGACGCGGCCAAATAAAACAGTCTTGAGACAGCGTGCTCAGAGCCTGATGTTGGAATGCTCCATTTTTGTGCAAGACCTGTGAATTTCTAAACGTATGTTTTTATGTTTCAATGCTGCCTCTCTGGGGGAGACGGATGGAACATGACAATGACTGCTCGTCCCCCAAGAGGACCAGACCATGCTCCTCCAGCAACTCAGCACTGGCGCTGGCTGGGCTTTGGGGGTGCTGAGCAGCACACAGTGACAGGGCACCCTACAACCACTTCACATTAGTCCAATGGGTCAGACAAGAAAGTAGGGTTCTGCCACAGAAAGCTGTGTGCATCTAGTTAGTAAGTACTCAGCTAGGTAATTACAGTTTCACTGGTGCTGTAAGAACTTAGAAACAGTTGAAAAACTACTGCATATGGGAATAAAAATTACAGCTGATAAAAGTGCATTGTTCAGCAAGCAATCGCAAAAGTGACTTCCATCTAATTTGATGCAAAAATTAGCAGTGAGAACAGTGAAAAAGTAATACAGAGAATATGTAAATAGGAAATCTAATACTTCTTTTTGAAGGCAAAAGTATAAATAAAATGTGGTTATAGTCTGAAGAGTGCAAAAAAAAATGATAATCTTATTTTATTTATTGCATGTCTTGCTATTAATTTATTTTTTTGAACTTTTAGTGTTCAAGAGGAGAATGAGTGTGGGACGATAGGACCAACTGAATGCTCTCTGCCTGTATGTCAGTGTCCACACACCACCACCCTCCTCTATGCTGGGATGCGAAGATCCAGCAGTCAAAGCAATGCCTTTTTGGATTTGACACCCTAAGCTGAATTGCCAGCCAACCAACATGGGAAAAAGGAAGCAAAACAAAATTCTTGTCTTTCAGTCTCACAACTGTCATGTTTGCCAGGGAGCTGGCGTGGAAGCCGGGAGCTGGTTTCCAGCTACTTTTCTGATTATAACCACACTTCCAAGCACTACAGGGACGTGCTCGTACTCTACGAGAAAGGGAGAGGTTTGGGAGGCAGCGAAGACAGTGGTTCCTTACACTAAGACCTCAAAAGCAGCTTTCAACAAGAAAAACTAAAACATACCAGGCAGCATTCAGAGAAGGATTTTTTAGGAGGCCGTGCAGGAGGGGGTGGCCCCTGGTCCCACTCCCAGAAGGCCATTGAGTTCTGGCGAAGCAAAAGCTCCTCCGAGGGCTAAGAGGAGGCAGATGCCCCGATGGCAGAACAGCCAGAAAGAGAAACAAAGCAAGAGAACCATGCATATGATCCACAGCCAAAAAGAAGAAAGTAAATACATGACAAAGTATTGAAACGGCTCTGCTGAGATAAACGCGCAAGGCACGGTTTAAAATATACTTGCAAAGTCATCCTAGCAGAAACAACAAACATTCACAAGAGCTGTTTTGCTGTGTTTCCACGAAACACCATTGGAAGCTGAGGTTCAGGAGTCCACTGATTCCTCTGAGCTTTTTAATTGCAAATGTCAACACTGGTCAACGTTATCCAGCAAGATGTACTGCAAAACAGCACGAATGTTTTAGTTTTGCTAGTGACATACAAAAGAAGCACATGGAAATCGATGGAAAAATATGGCAGAAAATACTTGATGAAAGAAAATTAAAAGATGGGAAAGAAATGCATGCACGTGACTGACATTTACAAGATGTGTGGGAGTTCTCAAGCTTCAGGCACAAAAAAGACCTCGATGTCTTAACCTTTCAAATGGGCTTACTCATGTCAGTAACCATGTAAGGCAAAAAAAATTCTTTTAAAAAAGAAAAAGTCCTGCCTCATTTGCCTCTACAGAGCTGACATTTATTCAAGGAGCTGGCTTTTCCAGAGACCTTCACACTGGGCAGAGCTCCACCGCTGCACCCAGGCAGGCACCAGGGCTCTGCTCTCCATGTGCCATTACACGACAGGGGGCTGTCAGCAAATAAGCCGTTTCCCTGATGACAAAGGGACTGTCTTATTCCAAAATAACAGAATTATTTTCATTGTGTGCGTTAAGGCATGTACAAACATCTGTGAAGGGCAGCGTTTAAATGGCTGGAGAACCTACATAAACCTTAGGGTAGCAAGAGGACCGCCCGAAGCAGCAATGTGGTATTTTGTCCAAGCCTCACCTCGGGGACAGACAGGTCGCACTGCCCACAGATGCCACCTACCTCCCTCAGATCATTGTCCAGCCCGATGTGCTCCGAGTGCTGCCGGAGGCGGTCTTTCCTCCGCTGCGTGGTGGCACTGCGACTGGCCCAACGGCTGCAAAGTCGGAGGGAGAGAGAAAACACACATGAATGGAAAAGGTTGGAAGGGAGAACCTGTATGCAGAGCTGGAGGACACCCAACAGACCTGCAGGGCAGGTGACAGGCCACTGGGTACCCAAGGGACCTGGTGGAGACCTGCCTGCTGCCTGCCTGAGCGAGGAGTCACAGCACTGGTGCCACCACGAGGGACATCGCTGTGTGTAGGCACGCAGCAATGCCCCTGCTTGACGATTTCCTGACATTTGATAGAAACGGTGGCTGTATAAACAAACAAACAAAAAAAGGGTATGTTTTGAGTAACAACTTCTAAAAAATTTCCTCTTTTGTGAGGTTTCTGAAATAATTCCTGCAGTGGAAGTACCACAGGGAATGTCGTCACCGTGACACAACTACTGTGACACTGGGAGCACCTATGTCCAAAGGATATTGACAGTACTGACATTCCTGGGATTAATCGTGTTGCTGTCTTCACCACATTTTTTTTTTATTATTATTTTTTCCCCATCATATTTCTAAATAGCAAAAATTCTAAATAATTCTGAATTCTAAATAACAAAAATTCTATTTTTACTACATCTTAGGTGATGTCCAACTCAATGTTTTTCTCCTCTGAAGCTGCTGCCCAAAAGCAGGAGCTAGGTAGCCAGGTTTGAAAGTGAGCAGCCCCCCGACTCCCAAATGTCCCAGCTTCTTTGTGCCAAATACTGTAACAGAACATGAGATAACTCGGTGCCAGCGAATTCAGAGTCTCAAGTGATTGCAGGGTTTCTAATAATAACATAGCATTCTGTCAAATCCCTGAAAACAAAAATGTTCAACTGGTGCAGGGAATAAATAAGTTAATACATTATTTATAGCAGAAAGCTAAAATAACCGTGCAGAAAACAATCTATCAAGCATTAGAAAGAAGTATCTTAACGCACATGAAGGCTACATCTTCAGAATGATATAAATTACTGTGGTTGTGCGTATTAAAATAAAAAAATCAAACACAGTGAAAATAATAATAAAAAAGCCTCTAAGTCCTTCAGTGTCTTCATGAAGTCCCCTCTGCCTCTCGCTTGGGAACAGAAGTTAAAGAACAAAATGCAGCAGGGTGTGCTCGGTGAGCCTCTCCATACCGACAGGTATCTGCAGGAACACGAGTCACCAGACCCACACCCATCCATTTCCACATGCGTCCCAAACAGGAGCATATACAAACAGGATCTGGGATCTGAGCTACTTGGGCAAGGATTTTGGGCTGGCAGCGTGTAGGTGGATGCAAGTCTCAAGGAGAAGCCTGCATGGAGCCGGACTTGGGTCGTGAAATGGCTGATGAGACACTGGGGAGGTGCAGGAGGCTCATGAGAAGTGCAGGGATGTGACCCTGGTCATCTGAGCCCTCCAGTTTCCAGAAAGCAAGACATGCACTTAACTGTCTCCACCAGTTCCTCCAGTGAGGCAATCACAGACCAAATTTTGTCTGTCTGGGTCCAAAAGGTTAAAAAAAAGTCATGGGAACTGAAGTTTTTATGGTCAGAACTGACGTCTCTTCCCACCTTCCAAATAACATCAAGAAAACAAGTGCAAAGTAAGAAACAAACACCTGGGTCTGCACCTAATTATGGTTCAGCACTTCACCATCTGATATGACACAAAGTTTATTTATAAAACCCCGTAGCCTCAAGCCTGTTGTAAGTAAATGAAACAGCCCAATAGGTGTCTGAGCAGGAAGTATTTGTACCTTCTCAGAGGGACGCATTACTGACATAAGTGTCTCTGCACCTCCTCAGAAACCTTAAAAATATACAACCTGTGACTTTAATAAATCATCACATTCCTTGCAAAAGCAACACCCAACGCCTCATCAGATGACTGAGAGGGGAAGAAACAGCATTCTGATAATCTCAGAAAGTTGAAATAGAGCAAAAACCCAACCCCTTGAAACAGAGGATAGCAGAATTAGAATTGACTTTAGGAATTGACTTTTGGCTCTAGAGACCCCCCATTTATTCCAAGTTAATACCAAGCTTACTTTTCACAAAACAGAATGCCAATAATACACCTAAATTTAAATTATAAGTCATGCATTGTCTTTATCATATTTTTCTGCTGTAATTCATATTATATATTCTAAATTCGAGACAAAGGTTTGATCCCTTTCCACTTGCATTTGTGCAGTTACTGGAAGGTTTAAGAATGACTCCAGGCGTCCTTTGAGAGAACACGTCTCACTGAAGGTGAAAGTGGAACAAAACCCACAGAATAATTACAGGTAATACACCATCATTAGAGCATTCTCACTCAATTCCAGCCAACTGGGAGGCAGCACAGACCATTCTCCAGGTTATTAATCAGCACTATTTGAACACTTTCAGCATACAACCGTAAAGATCATTAGCCACTTCTGAAGGAAGAAATTGCTGTTCATTAGCTGGAGCAATTACACGTGCAGCAAGCCATGCGGCCCCTCTTCCCCAGCCGCCAGGCTAGGGAGGAGAAGCTACCGAGTGCTGGGTGAGGTCTGTGCATTCGGATGCTGCTCTGAATCTCTCTGGGAGATTTGGTGAAGATCTAACAGCAGATAGGCAGCATTAAGCAGTTAAATCTTTTAAAGCCTTTTCTTTACTGGGCTGCATAGAATAATGCTTAAATATCACGATAACCATTCCCTCAGCCCCTCATCAGCAGAGATCACATTTTCAATTATTCCTCCTTGCCCTTCAGCCACTCCAAATGATTCCAAAAGGGGCTAAAGGCCCTCCCCACCTCCTCTGGGATGGCTGAAATCCCATTTGGGTGTCTGGAGCTGGTCTCCTGGCCCTGCCACAGGCCAGCTGCCTCATTCACACCTTGGCTGGTGCTGCTGACCAAGAGAGGAAAGCTGTGCTTACACAGGCAAATGTGTGCTTGTTTTGAGCCCTGACCCTTGGGCTTTTCCACTGAACCCCCTGGTCACCCTGAGTGCCCCCATCCCTGCAGAGTGGCTGCCAGAGGAGACGAAGCCCCCCTGGCTGGCCCAGCCTAGATGTTGCCCAACTATGCCCTGACCCCAAGAAATTCCCCCTCCCCCTTTTTTTTTACATAAATTTTGTTCTTATTTCACCTGCAGAGCCCTGAGAACGGACTACGGGCTTGTTTCATGTACTCCCCACAGCAGAGGCATTGCTCCAAGCACCAACTCTCTGGGGGCAAAGCAGCCGCAGCTCAGGTGCTGTGGTGCAGAGAGCCTAGGGACATGCTGCCTATGTGGAGCAGCACAGAAAAACTCTTTTTGGTAGTCTGTCCTCATCTCCTGATGCCCGTGCCCAAAGACAAATGCTCTTCCCCTTCAGGGACTGTGAAAAAGCAGTGATATTTCAGAGCAGGGACCAGGGAAGCCCATGTGCTGCTCAATATACAGAAAATAAACAAAAGGCTCTTCACTGGAAGTGTCTTCAACATCAAGACTGTAAGGTCAACAACAAAATCAGTATCGTTTGATACCACATTAGACCCAGCAAGCACAGGAGTAGGTTTGCAGGGGGTGGAGGAACTATCAAGGTGGCACTTCTAAAACACAACACTTAACCTGTGATGCTTGATTTCTGTAATAAAAATGGAAATACAGTCAACATCAAAACCGAACTGTCAGAAACCAGTCTAGCAGAACAGCAGCCTGGACGTGCCGTACTGTAACCATGTGTTCATCTCTCTCTCCCCCTGCCTCTCCTTCCTCCCCCTCGTTTCAAAGCTCCACAAAGGCATGAAGAAATGAAGCCCACCCAAACCAGACATGGGTGCAAAGGGCAGGATATACATTGCAGGAGGTGTAACACGCTGCCAGAGAACAAGAACGTGAGAGGCATCTGAAAGACAGCTTCAGTCACACAGTGATTTAACTAATATAGCCATTGCCATGAAAATCACTACTGTAATTTAGAATCAATTCACGCTGATAACAAAGAGAGAGGTGGAAGGAAATGAATGCACTCGTCTACAGGACAGAAGCTAAATCTCCTCATAGAGACCATCTCCTGAGGCAGACTGCTATTTAGGTCTGCAAATCACGGCAATACAGCTTTTACATACATACCTCCACCACTGGAATTGTCTGACTATGTTTCTGTATTTGCAGCTCAGCACGCAGATGTACCATGCCTCCAACAACCCTAAAAGCAGGCACGCAGTCTGCAGGCATTAAACACAAGCTGCACGTGTAATCTGCTCAGGCTAAGGAGCAGTTCGTGTGGGACTATGCAGAGATTGCACGTCAAACCCATGTTGGACCAAACAAGTTAAAAAAAATTAAAATTTCCCTGTGAACTTCAATTCTGCATAGTTATTATAAAATGATAAATTAACTGATATAAGTTAATTACCCTTTTACTGCCTTGCACTGATTGAGCCAAGGATCAGCACACAGAGGGCTCACCCATCCAGTTTCAAATTCCCATAACACGTAATTCCTAGTTCAGAAAATGCTTTAAAGCACTTATTGTTGAAGCCAGTCACGTTATATTCTCAAAAATGAATATATTTGAACACAAAGAGTTAACATTTCCACTGCACCTGTCAGTGGCTTGCTCCGTCAGGTTACCTGCTGTACAGTAACCACTTATTTCAGATTTTCATACTTAAAAGGTGAGCTTTCACTACTCAACGACGTTTAAATAACATCAGTGTTGTGTGTGGATGGCTCAGTGCTGACTCATGTCTTGTTCAGATGCACTGCAGAGATGTTACTCTCTACCACTTCAAAGTGCAATTATCTGGCTTGATTTAAGAAACAAAAAAACTTCACTGAAGCCTGCCAGCCTTAAAACAGTACCCAACATGTCAGGAGGTAGAAAGAGCACATGTAGTATGAAGCACCCATTAGAGGAGAGACAGATCATTTGTCACACAAAAAATAACTTAGTTAAAGCCAGAATGAACTCTACCATCATATAGAGATTCAACAAAAGAATACCAGTTTGCATAATATAAATCATATTTTCTTTAAAAACGTTAGCCACATTAACTTTACTGAATAAGGAAGCAGGAGCGCTATTTAAAAATTAGGAGAACCAATGGGCAGATAAAACCTGGGCAGCTCCCAGCATGAAGGGGGTGGTGGTGATGGAGGCCACCGGGCTGTGCCCACACAAGTTGCGCCACCACGAAGATGAACCAATTTTCTACATTCCTAATGCATAATTTTTGCAAATAGATACTGACATAGTGATGAGATCAGCAAAATGCAGCACAGGGACAAAAACCTGCAGAAACCAAGCAAATATTTTTGAAACCTGCTTTACAGGTAAGAAGAAAGCTTCACTTAGCTAAACCCTGAGTTTAAGAGGCCAACTACAGAGGGATCTGTGCTGGAAGACTTGCACTGTGTCCTCTTCTGAGGGTGACTGCAGGTAACGCAGCACAAAGAGGACAGACAAAAGCACCAAGTTCACAGGATGCCAGAATACAAAAGGATTCAGAAGAGAGAAGTGGCCAGAAAAGGGGAAATGCACAGGCCAGGAAAGAAAGAAAGGGGGAAAGCAGGACACAGGTAAAGAATGTGGAAAAAAACAGAGCTAAATGAAGAGGAAGATTAAAAAAAAAAAAAGATAATATAAGCCTTTTTGTAACTGTGTAACAAAGCAAAACCTTCCCTCAAAAGATAAAATAAAATAAAAAATCAGTTGCTCTTTGTGGGCAGCACTACAAATTGCCAGAGTGCTAATATATTCCCATGCTTGATGTGCAATCAGTGTTTTCCTTTGCAATATTTAATCTCATTTATCAAGCTTCTTAGTACAAATTAAGTTACAAGGTAATCAATTAGATTGAAAACACAGCTTGCTTCATTGTTCTAATTCTGCACTGTAAGCATATTCACCGTCATTTAACAATTAGCTAATCACAAACCATGAAGTGTTTATGTAGCTTGCCTTTTTGTCATTCAAATTCCTTTCCTCAATTGTTGCAAAACGTATCAGCCAGTGGAATCCCAGATAAAATTTTAAGAGCCTGGCAAAAAAAAAAAACAAAACATGGGAAAGAAAAGGAAAATATGTAGAAACCACAACGTGGTGCTGGTGTTTGAAAAAGGAAAGGACAACTCTGGAAACCAATGCTCTTTTCCAGGTTGGTAGACACACTGCCTAAGTGACTGCAGCCCGTTTCCTCCTGGGATAATTTCTAGGAGGACTTTTGCAGAAACCATTGTCTTAGGAGGTTACAGCAGTGTGGACAGGACATTTTTGAACTCAGAGGAAGCTGCAGCTGCTGCCTGCAGATTCAGAAACTTTTCCTATGAAGTGGGGGATGTATCAAAGGGGGTGAGTGCAGACTGAGTATCCCAAGCAGTACACTGCTGCCTGATTTTTTTTTTTTTTTTAACCTTAATGAAAAGAAATGAAAAATTAAATTTGGAGTTACTGTCAGGGAGGTTTTTGCTTAGCTGAGCAAGTCAATATTCCCTGACCACCCCAGGGGAGAAGGTACAGATCAGCCCCAATGACACCAAGCAGGCACCTGCAGCCTGAATGAGCTGGCCAGAAGAGGAGCTCATGTAAAAGGGGCTGTCTTCCCGACTTACACTGAGCAAGCAGATGAGTGAATGCAGCAAAAAGCGTAATGCAGGCTAGGGCCAGAGGAGCACAGGTCCACCCTCCTGTCCAGGCTCCTAAAGGACACCTTGGGGGCACAGGAAGGAGGCAGCAGAGTGACAGAAGTAGGGCAGAGCAGGCTGCCGAGCACGACTGCGGGCTGACAGATGAAACATTATTAGGCTTCGCTTTATGACAGACCTCGGTGTTTTAACACTTATACATGGTAACGTGACCAGCGTTTGTTCCCAGCTGCGTTTAGGTGGAAGTGATCCAACGTGACCGTCAGCCCTTCCTCTGTCCCCAAGGCCTGCTTGCTGTGGCTAGCAAGCAAGAGCCAGACACCTCCCCTTCCAAACACAATTTCTGCCTGTCCAAGCAACGTGGTTGTCTGGAATCACACAAAGGACCTAGGACTGAACAAACTGAAAATATTCGTTCTTTGCATGATATTCCTGACCTAGATATAATATGATACTTATAATGGCCCAGTGACTGTGAGAGAGGTACCTTCACCACTCTGTCTCATTGCAGGAAAGGAATAGCTAGCTAACATTATGAGCTCTGGTTATACGTTTGTTAGCTTATTTGTTCAGAAAGGGAAACAATAAAAAACTGATTGCTAGCCAGCAAGGACAGGTTTCTATTAAAATAGCTTTGAAGTGGTCTATTTGCTACGGTCCAAAAACAACTGAGTGGAGCATGGAAATGATTTTTCTCTCCTGAAAATACACTTTCTTACAACATTCAGGATACAAAATTCACTATATAAAACTGAAGTCTGCAAAATTAAATCTGATCTACATATTAATTAATATCTTTTGCATTAGTTTCATCAACACATGAGCATATGTACACACACACGCTACATCCAAAGTGCCTGAGAATGAAGATGAAATTTTCTCTTCCCACATGCCCATACTCAAAGGCTAGGGCCTGTGTGCAAATATAACATATCCCCAAGAAGCATATACTGGGAAATTCAAATTAATTTTGGAAGGCTACAGTTCAATCGATTTTGTGGTCAAAAGAATTATACTGTTCTTGCAGAGAGCATGAAAAGGCTATCTATTGTATCTGTGGGTGTAAATTCAGCAGAATCACATATCTTAAATGGGGGAGAAAGAGAGTCCTCTCAGCTGCTCGCATAAAATGCCAGGAATCAGAAAGATATAAACAGATGGTCTTGAGATTTTCCAATTACAAACCTTTTTGGCAATACACAACTGGAGGAATTCCAAACATTTGTCACTTTGACATCACTTTGCAGTAAGTAATGGGATTTTTGTATTTACAAATTCTGAAACATGCTGCAGTTTGAGGACCAGAACCAGCTACATCAGAAATTACCACTGCAGGAGTTAAAATCACATTTAAATGGGCACAAATCTAACAGAAGTATCTTTGAAGGCACAAAGAAAACTGTTTTTAGTTTAATGCTTATTCATAGACTCGGTAAGATCCTGTGACAGAGCCTGAACGTGTAAGTAACTTGGAGCAGGCTGAGCCTGCTCGCGCTGTTGCTGACACTATAAAACTGAAACTTGGTGTAAGGATAAAAGACAGACTGCTAAACACATCTCCCAGAAGTTGAAGAAATCCTCTGTTTCTCAAGGAAACATTACCTTTAAGCTTCTGTCTTCTCTTGCAAGATGACTACAAAGAACTTTGAAATAAGCATTCCTCCTTTTATTTTTGTGGGTGTTAACTCAAAAACTAATTGCAATTCTTTAAACATTCAACACTTACGGATATCTTATTTTAACAGTTGCAAGTCTTTTGCATAGTAGGTTATTAAAATAGGATTAGCTAGCACTGGGGGGCACAAAAGGTGTATAAATAGAATTGTGTGGGCACCTCACAGAGGAGCCTAGAGCAGCGTGTGTGCATGCCATTTTCTGAAGGAAAAGCTAGCTTTCAAAATGTGGACTCTCACATTTATCTGTGCTCTACCTTGACCTATCACTGAAATTGGAAGTTAGGGTATGAGCTAATCATTTTGTAAGCCGTCATCATTGATGCTCAAATCATTCCATTTTTTAAGGAAAGAGGGGAAATAATCTATTTTCTGGGTCTTGGGGGAAGGAAAAATGTAACCTACAGCTCTTACTTCCCATTATATTGATATAGAAATCATGTTAATTAGTTGCTACAGGATCTCATTTTACATTAGGCAAATTAACTTCATAATGATATGCTCAATTCCATAGCTATAGGTACCCCTACCTTCACATCAAAGCACAGCACAGAGCCTAACCTGAATCAGAAGAATTTCCAAAAAAAGAACCACATACTCTCCAACCTCACTGAGTTGTTATTCCAGGTTACTCCAATCTGGAAACTGAAAAAGCTACAAAAATCTTTGGGGCACATAATAATAGCTAAAGGAAAGAGAGAGAACAGAGAGGGCACTAATTCCCTTCCGCATGATGATGTAGAAGCTTCAATACCAGAATTTATTTCAGAATGTGAATTTTGGCTTGGGTTTCCAAATTATCCTATTTAGTGCAAAACAGGAAACTGATTTTAAATTTATTATGACAATGATAAAACTAAAAATATGTATGAGGAAACATGGTACTCATCACTAGAATAGAAAATTCTGAGGAACCTTCACAAAACCAGAACTAACACTTTCTAGTGTAACCCAAATTATGGCTATACCTTCAGAATCATCTGGTAGAAACCAGAAAAGGAAGGAGTTGCTTTGGTTTATTTACTCTGGCTAGAAACCATTCAAAACTGAGACCGCTGACCATTGATGTGGATCTTTCATTAGAGAAACCTCCTTTCAATTCCAGAAAATAAAAAAAAATGCTTACTTGTTGTTGGTAGGTCCTGTTGCTAAGACGTCTGATTGCAATTTTGGGAAAAATCCTTGTTCGTATTTCCCTTGACCAATCTTCATATCAAGTAAATGTGGGTGGATGGCTGTGTGATCGATCTTCATCAGCCGCTGCTCGATGGACTGGGCTGCAAGTTATATCCACACGTCAGCAACCCTGTCAGCGAGCTACATGTGCTACAACAAGCAGTCATGCTCTGATCCCGAGTAAGTCTCTAAGAAGTTAAAAATGCACCTTACTGCCTGAAATCCAACACTTAAGGGAGAAAACACCTGTGCTGTTATTTTGTTATTTGGCATTATCTGGACACAATAGTGTTGGGACAAACATGTTAGCTGTTAGGCAAGCTGGTATTGAGGGGCAGGATAGGTTACAAGTTGATAAGGGCAGTGCAAACTTCCCCTGCAGCTCGGTGTTTGGCCTCAGCGCTCCTTCTGGTAAAACACCTGGGGCCTGCTGGGCCTGGAGCAGCTCCCTGTGAGGGCTGGACACTTTTCTTGGAAAATGAAATGTCTTCCGTCCCAGAGACAAATCCAAGTTTTGCAAATGTCTGCCACTTGTGTGATGCTCCTCCTGAGGGCGGACATGCTAGTGCTGGCTGACAGGCCATCAAAAAGCACAGGTAGCCAGCAAGGCCTCGAGGGCAACAAGCAGACATTTAGACGTGGCAGAGGCTACAACAAGAGTGGAGAGGGCTCCACTCTTGGAGTGGAGAGGGCTAAAAACCCTGGTGCCACTGATACCAGTCTAGTTTGGTCATGATGTGGTATGGGGGTTTCACCTTGGCTCTCCAGAAGAGCACAAATGAAACCTGTCACCCTCTCACCAATGAGTCAGATGTGCTGTGAACCAGAGGGGAGAGGGGGCGGTGGGGCGAGAGCAGCATTGAATTAACAAATTCAGTATGCAACTTCAGTATTTTTTCCCCCCTAAAAAAAAAAAAAAATCCCTTTGGAGGTTTTATTTTGGAGCTAATGGCTGGGTAGTATAGGGACAGAAGGTTTGAAGGGTTTTGAAAACAGTGGGTTAAACAAACAAGTGTTGGAGTGGTGCTGGGCCCATGTGTGTGAGTGGAAAATATGAAATAAAGTTGGCATTACTATCAGTTTGCTGCTTTTCAAGACACAGAAAATGAGGTTCCGGTGCCACAATATCTACCAAAACTAGACGTTGAATAGACAGGCGACCTGTAAATTAGAATTGTTTTTAAACAGAAAGAGTTAAGCAGATATAGGATTTCTTTCTATTTCTGTCACACTTGTAACAAGCAAAATGCTCTCAAGCAATTAGAAAACTAAAAACAACAACAACAAAACACAAGAAATGTGCTTGCCTCAGTTCATTAATTTGTATCCCAACGAATTGAAGAGTATAATTTCCCTATATTACTTGGAAATTAAATAAATACTTGCACAGTAAGAAACTCAAGTGTAATTTGAAAATATGTCCTGTGACTATAGTGATAAAACCATCCAGATCCGCAGCACACAGCATGTTGTTCGCTAACACTGCACATCTCCTGCTGGAGCTACCAAATGTGCCACACAGGATTATGTCCCCACAGCTCTAGCCAAACGGTGTGAGCCCAAACCCCTTCCTTTTTACAGGAAGGGGTAGACGAGGTGAGTGTCCCAGGTACTGGGGTTCAGCTCCTTGGTGTGGCTGGCGCTGGTCCCACCGACACAGCGAGGGGAGGCTCTGCTGGTGGTGGGACAGGAGCTGCCTGGAAGGGGATGCAGTGAGCCCCTGCCTGCAGCCCAGATTTCAGCTTGGGTTTGTTGAACAAACCGGTGGGCTTGAAGAAAAGTAGAGGCTCCTGATATTTAGAGCTTTTAAAAGACTGCTGAAGTTTTTGCCTAAGAACAACAGACACTGCAGAGTGCTGCACAGGTTGATCAGGCTTCCTCACTGGTTGCAGCACTCCCATGACTGAGGACCTGTACCTCCTTGTGGCTGACATTGTACTTTTGAATATTTTATTAGCCCACCCGAACGTACCTGCTTCCTTCAGAGTGCTGCATTTCTGATAGTTGGATGTCCGCAGTGCAGGGGCCCTTACGTTATACAGCCTTATTTTCTCAATTCGGGAGTCAAAAACTCGCAGGAAAGGGTCCTTCTCTTCCCACTGGGAGATTATCTTGTTGTCTATGAAGGTTGCAAACATCTGTGTTTCGATGAAGTGCGACAGGAATGGGAGGTAAGGCTCAGGTTGGTCCGAGAGGAAGGAAGCCTGAAATACAGAGCAGGGCATTAGTGCCACGCTCCTGCTGTGCTCCAACATGATGAGCTGTCCTACAGCAGAGAACTGATGCAGCAGCCACCAGGAAGGCTTGGACAAGGCTTCGCCACCACAAAAACACCCCTCAGAGAGGATGGGATCCAGATACTGAGGGGTCTGGCTCATGGGTCACCTCTCTGGTCACAACTGTGAGAAATAAGGAGCTTGGGAGGCTTTGTGACAGCTCGAGTAAAGGGAAAATGGAGCTCCTGAAGCTCCATCTGCACTGCCATGTCTTTCAAAGCAGTCTAGTGGCTACTACCTGCAGGCACCAGCTGTGTGTAACCTGTGTGTGCCCACGTGGGACCTCCAGTCCACACACCCCTGCTTAGGACCGGGTCACTTACTGAGGTGTCGTATTTAGTTAGGGATGCACAATGCTTTTCAGCTAATATTCCTCAGTGAAGTTAAGCAGGGCAACTGATCTTGAGATTCCAATTAAATTGAGCATGTGCTTAAATCTCTAACTGAGCTCTGAAAACCCCCACCTTAAAAACCCATTTTATTGTATAAGTACTAGCAGAGACTGCATAAACAAACCCTGACTTCTGAAAGCTGCTACTGTTCAACACCTAAGTACAAACAAAAACAATAAAAGGCACTGTAGTGATTTTTTGTTTGTTTGTTTTTGTGTGTGTGATAAAAAACTGACTGAAATCAATATTTAGTCTGTTCTTTACTATTTATCCCTCTGACATTCTCCTCAGAGTAGGACTTGTGTCTATAAAAGCTGATGGCTAAGAGCGTTATCTACTTTGAGAAGTCATTCAGAAATAATAATTGTGCAAGCTTCCAGACATTTCTCATTCCTCTTGCTAACCTCCACTCTACTTATTTCCCCATTTCTAATCTCAGCTTCCTATTCACTCTTGTGTACACACTACAATGGAGCCATAACAGTACTCTTCTGACATAATGACGTGATAACCTTCTACAGAACAAGACTACATGTTAACAAAAAGCCCTACTGCGAGATTAGGAAATAAAAAACATGAAAAAGTGGATCCGCTTTTTGTCTTGTGTGCGCACCTCTCCTTTCAGCAAAGGAAAATAAAAGAAGAAAAGTCAATTTCTATTGCAGCCCTTCCAGAAAACCCACAGGAAAGCCCCCATCAGTCTGTCTGCAGGGCTGGTACATGCCAGGACAGCTCTGAGTGGCTCAGCAGATCCACACCAATTTACCTTGCCAGATGACCTGGCCCCGTGTAATCAAAATGGCAGATGAAGAAGGGAGGATTGAAGAGTACCTAGGCTACATATACATGACACAGATAGTCACCCCCACCTCCTAGAGCACTTTTAGGTGGAAAAATAAATACACAGCTATCTTTACTTTGTCGAAGTTCTGCATTTGTTCCCTGTTGGTCAGCCACGATTCCAGATCAGGGGCAGCCTGAATGACGAACGCCTCATAGTCTGCAAACATTTGTGTGAAGCGGTTGGCAAACACCTCCCGGAGCTGCACGTTCAGTTTGTAGTCCCTCAGCTCCACCTCTTCACACTGCAATTTCACATCCTTCTCTTTTTCCACCAGGGGAGCTGTGATGGTCATCTTCTCCATCGTCACGCCTGTTCTCTTGGCGAGAGCTTGCAGGCGGGCAATGGTTTCGTTGCCTTTCAGTAGCTCGTACATATTGAGGGCATTGCCAGGGATGTTCCCATTCTTTTTGTCATTCACCAAGTCACTAAGCACCAGGTTCTTGAGTTTGGTGGCGCTGTCGCTGCAGTGCAGATTACCCTCCGGTGGGATCCCAAACTGCAGGAGGACCTCGGAGATCTCCTGGATGAACTCCAGTTTGTTGGGGAACTGGGGAAATTCCTCTGGCAGTTCAATGAAATGGTTGTCGATGTCCACAAAGCACAAATTTGCCTGAAAGATGAAGAAAAGTTTCAAAATGGACACTCAGCATTGAGGGGACTACTGTGCTAAGTAGCCCAATTTTCCCAGAATGTTTCCAGACAAAAGGATAAGAGCACACATTTGCAAGAGAATTACTTTTAAGCATGACTTCAGTAATGCTGAGGGCCAGGTGGATGTCACTGATTTAATAAATTAATAATGACTCCCCAGTTTGTTCTCCTGGGACTTGTGGATCCTAAACTTGTTGATCCTATTGCAAAGCCTTGATATTCCCTCCCAGCACAGCTGGGGAGGCAGCAGCAAGTGGGATGTGCAGCACCACTTCTCAGCCCCTGTAAACACTAGCAGCATAAATCACCACATCTCCACGCTGTGTTTTTTACTGGGGGCATCTGTAGTTGTGCTACCAACAAACAAGGATGTCACTTAGAAAGATGATGCAGGGGCAAAGCTACAAAAGAGGGTCCCATGCAAATCCTTTGTGATCATGCCTGAGTATATCCTGTCCACAAGATATACTGTTTCCCCACTTTCCCCATTCCCCTGCTTCTGTCTTTTCATCTTGGAAACTGCTTTGCCTGAGATACAGATTGCTCTCAGACAGCTTTTCTGTGCATGGAGATGGATCTCAGCCCAGAAGATTAACACTAAGTGGAGACATGAATCTAGCAGACCAGACACTAGCAGTCAATGGGGGCAGGGAAGCACCCTACATAAAAATTAATTACATTGCAAGTGCGCCCTCGGGAATAATAGTAGAGTGAAAAACAGTAACTGGTGTTCTGAACTGTGGCTTACAGCTGAAATTCAGTGAGTGCACCATGCTGAATAAAATCTTAAAAGAGGACAGATTCTCCAGGTGCTGAGCTCTGACGGGTTTCACCCTGGCATTAAAAGCTGAATACACCACAAGACAGCAGGAGCAGGTCTGTGTTAGTCTGACTCAACCACTGCCACAGCTCCTCCAGCTTCTCTAAGGCACGTGGACTGCTCTTTGCTTCTCACGAAATGCTGCAGACTAAGGGTATTAGTAGCCATTTGGTAGAAATACCCCTTCAGCTTACTTTTTCATAGTAAATTGGACTGTACAACGCATTTCTTTATACAAAACAACTTGCTTTAGCTAACTATGTAGCTACTAAAGAGTTATGGATGCGTTAGTATGGTTTCTTAGCTCAGGGACTGTCTTCTTATCTATCAATATTTCATTTCAAAGGCTTTTTAATTTCAGCTCTGCATATCATTTGCAAAATTTGAAAAATGAGATTTGGATTCAGAACACCCTTGGGGAATTGGTCTCACTTCTCTCTTCAAAAACACCCGATGATTAAAGTTAATGCAGAGGGATTAGTAACCTTAAGACAGCATGATGGCCAGTTGTTAGAATTTTTATCTCTAACGTACAAATGGTTTATATTTAGACTAAAAGCCTGACAAGCCAGCCCCTGGCCTGAACAAGAAAGGAATGCTAAAGTGAACAGTGCTTCCTCACTGCTTGCATGTTGAAGGACATTATTTTATTTTTTTGTTTGTCTAGAGGAATTTGAGATTCAAGATCTTCCCAGGTCAATTCCCCTCCTTTCCCTCTCCCACAGTTATGGGACCTGTGGTGCTCCTAAATGCTGGGCTGTTATTTTTTACCCAATTGCTAAACATTTTAACAGGGTGTTTTTTCACTCCCACAATTACTGTTCCCTCATTGGAAATATTCAATTTGTTATCCCAGTGATACTGCAAACCCATCACATTAAAATTTTAATTTAATGAAAATGACAGCTTAATCTGCTAACTAAAAGCATATGACTAATAACTTCAAAAAAAACCACCACAGTAATTATGTAACATTAATATGGTTTTACTGAAAAGCATTATTAGATAACAGCTTCATTTCCACACCAGTGCAAATTTCATGTGATTGGACCGTTGTATCCAGGAGGTAAGGTTTGATTTGCAATGCTACCTGCTACCCAAGCTCAGAACCAGTCACCTCCACCTAGCACCTGAAATAAATCTTTATTAAAAACCACATTATCCTTGCCCTGTGTTTATCCCTCCACTTCCACATATAAACTCTCCTTATTGCATGTTCTTCTCCACTGCTGCTCCCACTGCCTGCTCAGTAAGAGGGCATGTTTGCAAGCCTCCATCCCCAGGAGAGGTCCCTGAAGGGACAGCAGGTGTTGTAGTGCCACAGCTATTCTTATGAAAACACCCATTTTAAGGAGAAACCCAAGTTAATATACCCAGATTGCTCAAGAAATGGGCCCTAAAGCAGTCAACATCAGGAAGCAGAGCAGACTAGCAATATCCCGAAGACTTGGCAGTGTGGAAAGTGATCAGTGGCTAGATGAAAACAAGAAGTGGTTTTAAACACTGTGGTCAAATTCCACATAGGAAAAAATCTCTGTTTCACTCTCTACCACTGGTGACTTCAACACCAAGAATCAGTGGATGACCTTTCCTTCCTTATTTTCTCAGGGGAAAGAATGATAGACAGGGCAAAGTCCTCGTGTCCCACTGCACATGGGACAGGCAATCTTCAGTGTGAAAGATCACCACTGGAGTGAGTTTCTGAGTGGTTCACAGGCCATATATTAATGCAGCTCTGGCTGATTTGAGGCCAGGATGCTGGTCTAGTGGTAGACCTCGACCTAGACAGGAATGCAGGTCTTTACTTGTGGGTATGATGAGGCTGGCAGGATGAAGCACACTTCTCATCAGGCAACAGGGTGACAGGGGCAATTTTAAACCATCTAGCTACTGTACCTGACATCCAGTTTCACAAGACCATCCCCAAATTAAATGCTCCTTAGCCCTTTGCAATAGGACCGTGACACTGGCAAAGAGTGAAACATGGTGACGCACGTGACATAGGAAAAGCAGAGAAACTTTAAGCATCACAGCAGGTAGTAGTAGAACTTAGAAGTGAGTACAACTAGCTACACTTGCTAAATTCAGAAGTACACCGAAAAGGACTGCAGAGATTTCTCCTGCTACCTCTCCCCTGCTGGAAAACAGAGTATCTGTGAAAACGGTTTTCATGGTGCCAAAGACACCTCCTAGCATGGCATGTCGTTTTCCAGCAGGGATTCACGCCAATGCCAGTAACGTGCTTCAGAGGAACAGCACCAAGGGCAGACGCTTACCTCCTGAGGCAGCTCCAGCTTGGAGCGGTCGGTTCCCTCCTTGGACTGCAGCCCCATCAGGTAGGGAACAGGAGCGTCCAGAAAATGCAGAAGGGAGGCAGGAAGGATGGGGACATACACGTGCTGCCACTGAAATGGGAACAGCAGCGTCGTGATCCCCTCTGCCACCGTCATCAGGCGCTGGTAATCTACATGGGGAGAGAACAGGAGAGACATTGAATTATCTTCCTGTGCTTCACTTCTGGAATCTGGTTCACTGGGACAGCAGTGACAACATAAATCAGAGACAGTGTTACATGGTAAGATGCTTTTTTGAAAATAAGACAATATTTAAAAGCCAAAAGCATTACTTAATTCATTAAAACTCATTACCCCCAGGAATAAACTACTGAGCATAAATATTCATATCTTATCTAGATCTATTCCATCATTAAATTCATTTATTAAAAAGATACCAAAAATTATCTCTAAAGTACAGGATAATAATACTCTGATTCTATAAAAAGCATACATTTTTTTAGGAGGAAAAAGGAGAATAAAGGAAGTGAACTTCAAAGAAACATTGTGGTGAGGCTTTCTCACTTGCTTCCTGTCTATGTTTAAGTCACTACTACTTCTAAGGCCGAGTGTATTTTCCAAGAGACTCACCTTGCTTACACACTAGCAGAAGTTCATCATCCCCAAGTATAAAAAAGGATTGTTTTAAAATAAAATCCAAACAGAAGCCTAATGGAGATTCAGTTCTTAAAATAGTCTGTATAGCTACCATTTTTATATTGCATTGTTTTCCTAAATTTCTATTTAATTCACTAGTTTATTGCTTTGTAATATTGTGGTTCAGGTAAACATATTGTGCATTACCTTTTAAACTGAAATTTAATTTGATCCAGCTGGGCCACAAAAATATTTCCTATTTCTGATTTTGGATAAAAGCAACTTATTTTTCAAATATACAGCTTGCAAGCTGTTAAAGACTATGAAACCAGGTGATTTCTTCTGTATTATAGCTGCTGCTGCATTTATGGCAGCTCCCCCTAAATTTTAAAGAGCAAAAAAGTACTTAACACCTAGCTCCTTAGGAGCCTTAACTTATTGTGAAGAAGCAGGGTATCTCATTTAACATCAGTGGCTAACGACAAGAATACCAAAGTGAATGTTTTAAGATGACTTCAGTTTTGCATGAGGTGCACAGCACAGCCAGGAAGGGAGTTATTTGGCCCCCCAAGAAAAGACCATTCTGGGGGTCTGTGACTTCGGCTGCTCTTTGCTATTCCCAGAGAGCTGTTCCTCTCAGCCCCAGTGCACAGGCACCTCACCAGCAGCTGGCAAGCGTGACTGAAGGGATATCTTCACTAGGGCTGCCTACAGCAGCAGGGCTCAGTGACAGCCATCATGTTCACACCAGCTTTGGCTTCGGCAAGTAAAAGGTTTCCACCCTCTCCAAGGCTAGACGAAGATCCTAGCTAAGACTCGGGTTGTTTCCCACCTCTCCTAGTCCCTGTGCCCCGCTCTGTGAAGTGACAGAGATATGTAGCAACACTCTGGCTTTGCATCAGGCAAGAAGCCTGTTCTACTGTAGGCCCACAACTGCTTTCTTGTGGATAGCATCCCAGCTGGGCTCCTCCTGCTCCTGAACAAGCCAGCCTGACATCCTGGCAGACATCAGTGACAGCCAAAGTGCCGTCATCTGACACTGCTCAGCTTTTAAGAGGTCACTGGGAAGATGCACTTGAATAAATATGTAAATTAAAACAACAAATTGCATAACCCTTTCTCATTCTTGTGAGCAGCTCTCTGTGGAAAACCCACCTCAATCTACAGGAGGTCAGCTGGCAGGGCAAAAACATTTTTCATCTTGTCCTGCTAATACCTAGTCACTCAGTCTTCAAACTGATTTTCCTACACACAAGTCAGTCTCAAGGTTACACCTCAAAACCACTCCTAACTACACATCAGCCATTTACGAATCTCTCCCTTTGAAATGGTCTGCAATTATACACGTCTATTGGCTGTCTTGTTGAGGAACATTTACACAAAATCAACAGAATCTACTGGTGAAGCTTGGGCATCAAAGGAATGAAGATATTATGTAAACATCAAGCTTTTTTATGTAAACATCAAACTCCACAAGCTTTAAAAGTTAAAAAAAAAAATCAAATACAGAAAATAGCATATCTTAGTATGCACAAGATGACTTCAAAGGCTTTTCTGATCTACATGGTCATGTGAAAGGACAGATCTTCATGGCAGGGTTGCAAGCATTTTTTTTGAATAAGGGCATTCAACTCTGGAAATGCATGCTCACTCTTTTTTTTTTTTTAAATAGTACTGACAATATTTAACATGTTCACTAGCGTGTTTTGTAACCGATTTACTACGAGGAAAGTTGTTTTCAGAAAACCGAGATGACAGAATTATTAGGCTATTTGTCACCATTTAGCAATGCTTGTTAGTGATTAGCAGAGATAAAAACGTTTACATACCCAGCAATTTTCACTGAAGAGAAAAATTCCCAGAAAAATAATGATATAAGAAAAAAAAAAAAAGGAAATGGTTCTGTTGATATTTTTTTAATGAAGTAAGAACTTTGTGCTTATTTTCAAGCCTGAACAAGATTAGGCACCTACTCTTAAGTTTCCCTGTAAAGCACAAGGTCTTTTTTGACAGAAATTCTTGTACCTGTCAGCATTTGAGAGAAGCTTGTGTGTTTACTGAGGGCAACCTGGAAACAAAGGATTCACCCATTTCCCCAAACCAGAGACAGAAAAAGGGAGGCAGAATAGAAGAAAAGGAAGGAGGGAAAGAATGAAAGTGGGAGGAAAAATCAGGGTATGTATAAATGGTGTGTGTTTGTGTCAAGAGAAGAACTTCCTGACCCTGTCCTACCACCACTGTCAGACTTCAATAGCAATCTCCAACTGCAAGCCAGGGTTTGCTTGTGATTGATGAACGACAGCCCAGGTAGGAAAGATATCCTCGGATCCTGCTCCAGTTTTTGGAGCTGCAACAGGGGATTAGATAACATTTGCCAGCATAGGGAAGTGTGTTTGGAGAAGCCCGTTTGCTGAGCAGAGTGTGCACACTACAGCCCCATTCCCCATCCATCTGTTTGACATCAGGAAACATCCACAAAAGATACAAAAAGTGAAAACACTGTCGGGGTGTTACCCACTAAAGGTCACAAACTCAGCGATGAAAGGCTCAAATCAAGACAACTTCCTGAGACATGAGAATAAATTTCCTTCCTCTTCTTTTCCTACTTCCATTGCTATTTCTCTCTTCCTTGCAGCTTTCATTTCTCCCTGCCCCCAGAGTGACAACAGCTTATACCACGGGACTGATATTGCTTGGTGGCTATACCTGCTTCCCTCGCCCTGCCTTCTTGGGATACTTTCTCCAGCACAGGGAACACTGGAAAGCACAGTGCCTACAGCAAGTTCTTCATGTTCAGAGTTAAATCTCTCATTTATAAACAGGATGTCTTCCAACAGAAACTGCTCAAGGAGGATAATCCCAGGGCAAAGCAGCCCCCGTGGCATCTATTGCAAGAGCTGCCTCTGAACCGCCACTCAGCTGGATTTGGCACGGGTCTGTCTCTCACACTTAACCTTCCCCCCTAAGTGAAGAAGAGGGCAGCAGAGCTGAGTTCAAAGAGCCTGTATTCAACCCCTTCCCCTGGCAGCATCTGCCAGGGGCCCTCGGCCAAGTCTCTACATCTCACTTCCCTGCGCAGGAAAAGTAACTGCGATGCGGGCCTGCTCCACCATGGGCTGGCAGCTCTGCTGTGCAGGAGCAATGCTACAGCCACACTTTGTGAAGTTGTGGAAATACTCACAGGGATGACAGGATACAGTTTGATGCTTGAAGTGCAAGCCTTGAAAGATTCCTGTGCCATTATGAATCGCTGTTTGGTGCTAGGGATGGAAATGGTTTCAGCTTTTGAATATCGACTCATACTAAATGTTTTTCTGACGGAGGGCAAAATTTGGCAAATATTTTGGTGTTGTTGCTAATTCTTCATAATATAATAACAGGACAGCAACCAAGCAGAATGACATTATAACAGATTTCGTGCACATCGAAATATCTGTCCCAGAGAGCTCACAGTCCAAACACAAGCAGCAACTGAGAAAACAAAACAAAAGTAATCCCGCTCCTTTCGTTTTATAGATTGGGTATAGAAACTCTGAGATGCTAAGCAATTCACAAAGCTCAACATAACAATTGCTTTTTCCCACTGTACAAAGCAGTCTGATATCTCAAAATCCTTCCCATGCTGCAGCAAAGCAAAACAAATATTTGAGAAGGGAAAGAGACATCAATGTCTCTGTTCAGAACGGCAGAGACCTCCCTTGCTCAGGCGCTTCCCCAAAACAGGTTCAAATCTTTAGTCATAAACAGAAGAGCTTTCCACCTGGGGGGGCCTTCTTGGCAAATGCCCAACCACTGGATTTTTGATTATAAAGCACGTGCAAAAGCACTCACACTCATGCAAACCAGAACCTGTATTCTTGCTGTCATCAGTACACCATTATTTCAGTTTCATTTCATCTGCCTGCCTAATGAAAAAACAATTTGGTAGCTTTCCACCTATCTCTTGCAGTAACCATCCAGAGGTAACACAGAAAGCCTACAGCATAGCTGGAGCCTCAGCACGGATCTTCTAAATCCAGTGCAATGCTTTAAATAAATAAAATAAAAAGGGTGGAGGGGAAGGCCATGCTTCCTCCTTCTTTTCCTTTTTACATCCTTTTTTGTATAAAATTTGCAAGTACTTGGAAATATTTGAAAGGATGGGTTATCTGGACACCACTTCCTTTTCTCTACAGCTTTTTGAACATACAACAAGCATAACTGTGACTCTGCAAATCCGTGTCATCATATGTATCCTGGAAGATGACAGTCCAATCATCCACGAAGAGTGTTTTTCTGAAAGGAAAAAAACAAAGCTGGTGGGGCATGTCCCTACCCATGGCAGAGGGGTGGGGCTTGATGGTTTTTCGGGTCCCTTCCAACCGAAAACATTCTGTGACTCTATGATCAATAGCTTTTCCACACACTACCTCTTCAGTTGGAAGTATTATAAGTAATTGCAATTCAACATTTACTTTTTGTAATGAAATGTGGATTAGCTGAGTCAGGTACACTGGAGAAACCGGGAAATAAAAAAGAATATTTTGGTTTGAGC